CAAATATCGCCTTCGCCTCCTCAATTCCGCAATCTCAAGGGCGTTTATCTACTCATTCTACAAACTGGGAGACGAGGACGAAGAACCTATCCCAATCCCGTTTCAGGTCATCGCCTCGGACTCTGGTTTGCTTACGAGCCCCGTCACTACCAAGAACCTCGCCCAAGCCATGGCCGAGCGCTGGGAAGTCATTTTCGATTTCACCCCCTTTGCCGGGCAGAAAATCACCATGATGACGGAAGACGAACGCAACATCGGAGCGCAATCAAGACACAAGAAAGGCAGGAAAGGCAAGGGCAAAGACGAAGACTACTTGACGCCAGTCATGCAGTTTGTGGTTAGCCCCACGCCTGTCGTCGACAAGGCCCTTGTACCTGGGGAGCTGCGCGCCGTTCCGTTCCCGCCTCAGCTACCAGACCTCATTGACCACTACTACTTGTTCCACCAAGAAGACGAGCTCTGGAAAATCAACGACGTGGTCTTCAGCGACAAGGCCAACCGCATCTTGGCAAACGTCCCTCGCGGCACGGTTGAGATATGGGAGATTGAGAACGGTGCCGGCGGCGGCTTCCTGCATCCCGTCCACGTCCACATGGTCGACTTCCGAATCCTAAGTCGCACCAGCACTGGCAAGTGGGCAACCGACCGCGGTGTGCTGCCGTACGAGGAAGCCGGCTTGAAGGATGTCGTTTGGGTCGGCGTCGGCGAGGTCGTCCGTGTCGAAGCCCACTATGCGCCGTGGGATGGCGTCTACATGTTCCATTGCCACAATCTCATCCACGAAGACCATCAGATGATGGCTGCCTTCGACGTGACGACATTGAGTGACTTTGGGTACAAGGAGACGGCGTTCAATGATCCCATGGAAGGCAGGTGGCGCGCCGTGCCAATCACCAAGGCCGATTTCACCGTGGACGCCATCACGAAGAAGATTGTCATGATGGCAAAGCTCCAGCCCTACGGTGATGTCGGCGACATTGTACGAAAGCTGGACCAATACTGGGCTTCTCGAGGCGGACTCCACCAGAACCCTGGCATAGTCAACGATGAAGTAGCCAAGAAAAAGGGAGCTCAGGAGGCAGCCAAGAAGGACACGCCCAAAAAGGACGGAGCCAAGGAGAGCGCGACTAAGATGGGTGGTGTTAAAATGAGGCGGGTCAAAAGGGCAGAGATCGTCATGGATGAGACTGAATGATAGACGGAGGGGACAAAATTGGGTTTTCTCAGCGAATGCGCGGTGTAATGTGTAAGATCTAATTTCTAGGTTGTGGGCGGCTGTACAACACTGGATGCGCGACGGGTCAGGACTCGGAAAGCATCTTCGATTTGCGTGTACATATCTTAACGTTGACGTTTTGTCTTGCGAATCATATTCGTGACGTTTGTCCATGAATACTTTCTGAAATACCTAGAATATTAACATGGTCTTCGTCCAACTCGTGCTCGGAAGCTGGAGTATACGGCGTCCGCGATCAACCTTCACAAATATCGTCTGGCTGTAGAGGCCTCGAAGGTAACGTCTTGATATTCTACGTCATATCGCATAGTATTTTCAGTCCAGCCTTTGAAGAATCTGCACAGATACTGGGATTATTCAGATTTAGCCGCATACCCGATAGGGTATCCTCCTAGGAATGGTATACAAATGCCAAAATTAGGGAATTTTACCAGTCGATCGCAACATTGCTTAGCTATCTAGACGGCATTTCACAGTTTGGGTGACACATTCATTTGACGAGCTGAATAGGTGGAATTCTCGCGGCAAAGAAAGGCTTCCTGCTATATATCCGACCATCACTCAAACCCAGAAGCAACTTCTCAATACCAAATACGGATTCATCATCCTTTAGAATCTGTACGCTCTCCTCTTTTTTTCTTTTTTCACCCAACGTGAAAATTGTATTGCGTGGTAGACATAGTGTTTCTAAACTTAGCCCAATGACACAGCATTCCGAAAGCGAAATAGCAAGGACCTGCCCTTAATGGCGACCCATATCCGTGTCGATCGTCCATCTGCAGGTGGCTGACACCCCCTTTATGCCTTATGATTGCAAACTGGTAATTTCCGCACAACGTAGAATGTTACGGGGCGTACGGAGTAGTGACCCACGTAACCCCGCTGCCGGCGGCTCCCGAAAGAGGCTGACCTGCCGGCGGCAATGCAGGCGGATTTAAGCTTGTGTCAGTGAGGTTAAATCCCCTTGAAGGATCCCCTCATTTATGCTGGGGTCCAGGCCTCTAGCACGATCTCACGGGTCTAAAAAAGACCCGATGCATACCCAAGACTTAAACGCAGAGCAGCCGAGGGCAGAAAGTTTAGCCACCCATACTCGTTGATGTTGAGAAGTCTGAGTGTTTTTCTCAATACTGTCCAGTAAAGCCGTCTTCTTGGAGACGATTTGATATGAAACAGGCCAGAATAGAGTCTTATCTGACTTATCATTTCCTCGGGGATATTACTGCACCTTTCATCAACTAGTCAATGCTTCCTGGTGAATGTATAGGCTGGCAACATCTTTCAGGTCTATTCCATGATTATCAATCTTGAGGACCACCTGTCGGAGCCACCTGCCCCATCAAGCTTCCACCGTTGAATACCTTACGTACTTCTTATCAGGTATCCCGTCGGCTGACATATGACGCAATAACCCCGGTACGGGCCGAACGAACACACATGCGCCGCGTAGTATGTTCATCGACAAGACTTTGGTTACTCTGAATTTGGCTCACAAGTGGGCACTATTGTGGCTCAGTCCTTAAGATAGCCGATGGGATGGGCAGGGTAAATATCCTGGCGCACTTGGAGCGTGATGTCGAGGTACTAGCTGTGGCACCATGAGATGTATGCCAAGTGTCGGTTTCCCCGAAAATGGGGCGTTGTCCTTCATGGCCATATTGTTCCGCCCGATGTCTGGTGAATACAGCCCTAGCGGCTGGAGGTTTATATACAACAGTCGTGGCTTGCCTTCTTGTCGATCATCAGCTTGAAGACCTTCATCATTCTGATTCGTTCATCTCACAGTCATTACTATTGTTCAGGATGCTGTCTCTCTTTCTTCTCAGCGTCCTAGCTCAAGGGCTGGTAGCCAGCCCCGTTAACAGCACATTCCCTTTCCGTCAACAATGTCTTTCTTTCGCCAACGCTACCTCCATCCCCGGAGCCGCTTCTGTCTCGACAGAGTTTGTCGCGGCGGGAACAACGCTGAAATTTCCCAACGCTGATGCTAGCTGTAGTCGCCCCTCCCAAACCGTGTCAGCGGATCTATGCCGTCTTACGGCTCAGATCGCCACTTCGAATCGATCCGGCTTCAAGTTTGAGGCCTGGCTTCCTCAGAACTGGACTGGCCGCTTTCTCAGCACTGGCAATGGTGGCCTTGGTGGATGTATCCAGTATGAGGATCTCGACTACGCTAGCTCCTTGGGCTTTGCTTCTGTCGCTACCAACAACGGCCATGACGGCGCAAGTGGCGCTTCATTTCTGAACAATCCCGACGTGATCGAGGATTTTGCCTACCGAGCGCTCCACACGGGCGTCGTCGTTGGGAAAGATGTCAGCAAGTCGTTCTACGGAAAAGCTCACACGAAGAGCTATTACCTGGGCTGCTCAACCGGTGGCCGCCAGGGCATGAAGGAAGCACAAGCATTCCCCGAGGACTTTGACGGCATTGTAGCTGGTGCTCCCGCGTTCTCTTTTAACAACCTTACCTCGTGGTCCTGCCATTTCCTCCCCCTCACCGGACTTGAAGGGGCCGATACCTTCATCCCAATGACGATGTGGCCCACAATCCACGACGACATTCTCAAGCAGTGCGACAAGCTCGATGGCGTTGCCGATGGCATTCTTGAATCGCCTGACTTGTGCGACTACAAGCCGGATGGTCTGCTCTGCGAGGGATACAACTCAACAGACTGCCTTACTCAAAAACAAATCGAAACCCTGCGTGCTATCTATTCGCCCCTTCTTGATGCCGCCGGTAGCCTGATCTATCCCCGGATGCAGCCCGGCGCCGAGCTCACGGGTGCCCCGCAAACTTACTTCACCGGGCAGCCTTTCGGCGCTGCGGACTGGTTCAAATACGCCATCTTCAACGATTCCAACTGGGATCCCATGACCCTTAAGCCCGAAGACTACGTTACCTCCTCCACATTGAACCTCTTCAACATCGAGACCTTTGACCGCGATCTCTCTCCCTTCCAGAAACGGGGCGGAAAGCTCTTGCATTACCACGGTCTGGTCGACGGCACGATTTCGAGCGACAACTCCCCCAGATACTATGAGCACGTTTCGAAGAGCATGGGCCTTGAGCCTTCAGCCCTCGATGAGTTCTACCGCTTCTTCCGTATTACGGGCATGGCCCACTGCGGCGGCGGTCCGGGTGCCACTTTTATCGGTAATCAGGCACAGAGCAATGCAGGCCTTGACCCCGAGCAGAATGTCCTAATGGCAATCGTTCGCTGGGTAGAAGAGGGTGTTGCTCCGGAGGCTATTTTGGGCACTGCATTCGTCAATGGCACGCAGAGTGCAGGTGTTGACTTCAAGCGCAGACACTGCAGATGGCCCCGTCGAAACGTTTTCCAAGGCGGAGACTACAAGAACGAGAATTCATGGGCCTGTGTTGAGTAAGTTGGGTAGGACCAAGGTTGTTAGTGCGAGAATCATGTCAATTGCACACTTAGTAGTAGACAGGTCGACTGAAGAAAGTATTCAATCAGACACGGCTTGTGTACGGCATCCAATGTCAATATCATGAGGCCCGAAATTGTTACTCCATATAAGTGCAAAATTGTTTTGATAAGTGAATCGAGAGAAGAATCCCAGGTAGTGACTTAGACTTATTCATCTCTTTGCCTGATATATGCATCTATTGTAGCCAGTGTTTTCTGGAATTGTCTGATAATCCCGGATACTGAGCGTTGAGGAACCATACTTCAGTGTGGTCGGATATTATTGAAGGACCTCCCGCGCCTAGCATGATTCCGCTGGCCGACGACGAAGCAGATCAAGTTTGAAACCAGCTCGGAAGCATGTACTGATTGAAGTTGAAAGGGCATACAACTGCCGGACAGATGCAACCTGCACCTTTCTCCTGAGCCACGCACTTCATAGCGGGTCCGTTCGCGTTCGGGTCGCAGCAACAGCAGAGCTCTTCCGTCTGGCTGGGTCGGAATGGACAGCGAGTGTCAGGAACATTGCAGATAGGCGCGTCGGAGACTTTGCAGGTGATGAGCTTGAGGTCGTAGTCGCAAGTACAACAGTCTGCGTCTGGCTTGACCTCGGTTTGACGGCCTGCGATGGCGGAGGCTTGAATGCTGCTAGCAGCTGCAGTGATGGCGAGAACGATGCGTGAGAAGTGCATGGTGTCGGAGTTTCGTTCAAGCTGGGTACGTAAAGAGGGAACTTTCAGCGGAGGTTGTGATTTTGTTGATATTTTGCGAAGCTGTGTTTGTTGACATTTGATCTTGACGAATTGGTATGCTTGCTCGGGTTTATATAGCCTCTTGAACAGGCTATCAGGAAAGCTTTCCCCAGCCAGAAGTCCCACAAGTGCTCTCGTTTAGTTGCTTGATTCATTATACTGGATTCGTCAATCTCGTGTAAACATCCATCGAGTGGGAACGATCGTATTGCAACGAATAACCTAATCCGTCAACTTTACTGCTGGAGTCCCGAAGGCCGAGGTCGTTCAAGGTTCATGTCTTGGAAGCCTCGAGCACTGCCCCCTTCGAATCCTTCAGCGCCGATAAACCTATAGGCTACTAGAGCTATTGTCAGACAATCAACTTTTGATTTACAGGCTGAGTAAGATCTAGCCCAAATGAGCAAATCGAAGTCGTACACAAAACAGTGTGCAACATTCGATCCGTCCGGTGTAAACTAACAGTCGTGAATGGTAATCTCCGCGAAATCTGCCAGTCATCAATTTCACTATCGCACGACACATATCCTATAACTAACGTGTGCATTTCAAAACGCAGAAGGTGGTGATTCTGGACCTAGTAATCTTCAAAGACATTGTCAAAGCCCGCGTAAAAACGCAACACAGTAACACACGGCACCTTAAGGAATGTGAGTGATTTCGTATAGCGAGTGCTACAGGTTGACTAATGCAAGACCGATGGGACTGGAAAGTCTATGCCATAGACAATAATAAGGGAAGAAAGATTGGATTGTCGTAGGCTATACAAGGTGAAAAGCCAGCCCTCTGATACCAGCTTTCTTAAGAAGAAACAAGACTTAAACGTTCAAAATATCATTTCTTGCGTCTTCGACCTGTGGCTTCAAAGATGCCACTATCCAGAGCCACGTAACATCAACCCTGGACCCAGGGCGGAAGCATGTATTTGCCGAAGTTATGCAGGCACCTGACTTCCGGGCAGTTGCATCCCGCATCTCGGTCAACGAGCGAGCATTTGGTTGACTCGTTCCCTGGAGTAGGATCGCAGCAGCAGCACAGCATCTTCTCCTCATTGGGTCTGAAAGGACAGCGAATATCCGGTATGGCACTGCAGCCATCTGCACCAGAAACTTTGCAAATCCATCCTTCAATATCGTAGCTGCAACTGCAGCAGTCTGCGTCTGGCCAAACGTCTTGACGGCCTCCAAGGGATGCGGCTTGAATATTGCCCATGATGGTGGTGGCAACAACGAGGAACTTTGAAAGTTGCATGGTGTTGATGAAGTAGAACTGTGATTGAGCAAGGGGCAGATGTAGCGGAAGAATCGAGGCTATGGAAATATGAACAGAAATTGCGAACGTTGAAATCCGTATCAGGAGTTCACTATGCTTAAACAGCCATTTCTTATCCGATCCCATCTCTTGCAGTCCGTGTTATGATGAGAGGATGTCTTAGACATTTCGACACTTTTGCCTGTTTGAGAGAAAGCTCGTACAAGTTGTCCAGGCGCTGATCTCGTCAACTTGGCATTTCATGCCAAGTCCCCGATGGTTCCCGAAGTCTTGGAAAAGTCAGTGACATCGGAATTAGGCTGTGAGAAATGAGCGGCAGACAACCAGAAAAGGATTTTCTTAATTTGAGTTCCTTGTGGATTGAGGTTTTATTTTATGAATGCCCAGGATCCGGATTTTGCTTCTCAAACGTCCATACGATATTTAGCATGATAGAGCCAAAAGGGATTGCATATCACCCATTCTAACAATTCTTACGTTACGGCAGCCCGAAAAGATGCTTTTTGATGTCCTTCTGACGTACGTACATGATAGTCTTCATTAGATCAAGTTGATTTACCTCCTTCATTTGGTCTGATGAACCCGCTGTGCGTCAAACGCCTCAAAACGACCACTTAGATGGATTTTCACGCACACGAGGGCCACCAGAGGATGAAAGGTTTACTTCTATAAGTATGATTGCAAGCTGACTTCAGTCTTTACTTCAGAGCTTGTGTTTAGCTTGTCATTGAAAATAATGAGTAAGGAAAATTCTCCGTCAGATAACAGCTTGAGGCACTGCTTTTTCGATACAAGGAAGCCCACGGGCTCAGTACGAAGAGCCCGCCCCATCCTCGTCAAACCGATCCCCAAGCCAACCTTGAGAAAAGCTGAACCAAAGTTTCGAAAGAAACTACCCTAAAGTACTTGTATCCAACTAGAGAACCACGCCGAAGGATTTGCTGCATTCTTCCACAACTTGCTAGAGACTGTGAACGCTTAGGAAGAGGCCGAAACCTGAGAGTTTGCGGGCAAGAAAATGGGATCCCATGAGAAAGGACACGCCACTGCTGGACAGAAGCATTGGTTCTTGGCGACTGGCTTACACCTCATGGCGGGGATGCTCGGGTCGCAGCAGCAGCACATCTCCTCTGTTTCAGGGTTCGGGTTGAAGGGGCAGATGACGGCAGCGGTAAAGCAACCGCCTGGAGGAGGGACCGTGCAGACATGAGACTTGTTGTTGAAGTCACAGCCGCAGCAGTCGGCGTTGGGTCTTCCTGGGCTTTGGCGTTCTGCAAGGGGGGACGCCTGGACTTTTGCCGCAGCAGCAATGAGAGTGAGAACAACCGATGAGAACTGCATTTTGTGCGAGACGGAGTCTGATTGAGATTGATGAAATTGTGAAGGTAATAATTTTGTGTTTGTGATGATTTCTTCTCTTCTTGTGGGTAGATACCTGTTTGGCTTTATAGACGTCGCACTTGTATCCCACAAGGTACCTGTCATAGGGCATGGATTGGTGGCGTTTTCACAAACATGGTAACACAACTCATGATGCCATCTTTTTGGCCCTATTGGGTAGCTGTCGGGTGTCGACAGGTCGTATGCCTCGCCACCTCGCCAAGTGCCAGCCTCACCGCCATAGTCACGGGCGTAAGACAGAATAGCCATTCGCTCCCTTGGCGGACACAAGAATGACGGATATGTCTTGAAGAAGCAAACCGCTATACACTTTGTACGACTTCCCCCGCAATGACAATGACAGCCGCCCTAAAATACCAATCCCAAAGGTACCAATTAACTCGGTCCCAGGAGTCTCGGCCTAGGCTCAAGTGGCTTGCGGAAGGCTTGAACTTTTTATCCGCGAGGGTAGTCGGAGTAGGGTTTTACTGCTTCCGGAATATTATATCGCATAAGCAGCCTCTCGGGAGAAGGGCCGAGGAGAGGGCTGACATGTCTCAGACCATGGAATGGAAATCGTCAGATTCGGCGTCAGCATACCAGAGCCGGGCAAAGCAGAAGGATTCAGCCATAAAGTTTCGTTGATTTGACCGATGAAGCGTACCATCTACCCCACAAACTAGTCGTCGTCGTCTAGTTCCATGACCGGGAAAAGTGACTTCGGGGGATAGTAGCATTAATCATCCTTCGTTTGCCGAATAAGCAAGCTTAAAAACACATCGATGTAGCACAAGAGCATACTAGATATTCGCTAAAGATCATCATTTACTTTTAATCATTTTGAAGAAAAAGCTAAGACTAAGACTTTGGGATGGGTATGAAGGTACTGCTAATGTTACACAACAGCTGCCGAGGGCTCTTCTTCAATAACCTCTATGACGGCTTGATGACAGGCAGCGCGGCGCAAGGCCACGATGGGTCGCTCTCCGGCTTACCAACAGCGACGTTGGCCATAATCGTGTATAGGTTGTTGCACAGAGGCATTTTTACATACCCTGGAAGCCTGATGCCGTTGCCAAACCACAAGGGTGACCCCTCACTCGGCTGGATGTTGGTGTAGTTAGGACTGAAGTTGTTGTTCATTCGGCCACCCTCAAGCCACCCACCGTAGACTGCAGCCACAATGTCCTCCTTGGTCACACCTCCCCATTGCTTTCCATCCATGGTATCAGTACCGAACAAAGCCGTGAGAGGGTTGTTCTCGCTGGGCTTGATGGAGGGCTGACCTATGCTCAACTCAACGCCCTCGTTCCTAATATCGAGCAGGTAGAACAGCGCGCCATTGTAGCATGCGGCAGCCCTCTCATGGGCGTCTGCGGGCAGAAATGGCCAGAGAGCGTCATCTCTCTCACCCTTGCCCATCTTGCAGGGGAGGTTTGTTTTCCTGTCACTTTCGTCAGCAATGGTAAGACGCAGGGAGGAAACGTGTGCGACCCACAAGATGAAGGGCCTGCGAGCTGAAGGTGTACTTTGCCATGCGGCCAGCATCAGGTTGGGGTAGAACAGCTTCTTGATCACTTTCGACATTTCTCTGAAATCAATGTCATCGGGCGCGGCGGACATCAACCCATTGTCAAGCGCCGCAATGATGTATTCCGTGGTGTCATTATCTTGCGGTGTGAAGATAGTCTTGAGGTACTCTATCTCAGCCGCCTTCCAGGCGTCGAACACGTCACCCATCGTTGCAGACAATGTGCCGTAAGCAGGTGTGGGCTGGCCGCCACTGTTTCCATTTGGTCAGTGTCAATCCATGACAAAGAGTATTCTCTGGCTTTGCTGGTGGAGTCGTGGACCACTCACGGAAGAAGATAATCTTTGCCAACCGCCCAGCCAGTGAAAATGGTGTAACTACTTGTGGTAGTAATCTGGGAACGCATGGTTTGCGTAAGGAAACCTTGGAACATCGTCGAGTAGACGACTGGCGCAAGGTTAGTCAGAAGGACTGAAATAACTAAAAGAGGTTTATGAAGATTGAAGGAAGACTGCTCACAAATATTGTTTGTGTAGGACTGTGCGATGCCTACAACTCCATAGATTACATTGAGCATGATTCTTTGCATCCTAGCCGTAGAGTCGCTCTCCTTGGGAGGAACTGAGAATTTCTCAGCGAAGAGATCCATCTCAGACTGAATGTCAAGCTGTGCTTGATCGAGACCTTCATAGTATCTTCGATGAAACTTGCGCTTCTGGTCAGCATCTACTCATTCGACATCCCGCAGTTCGGAAAGCATTGGAGGATAGCTCAGCTTACTTGGTGAAGTTTGGAGAAGGAGTTGAGAATCAGATGGCCAGCGGGATACTTGGTTGCCTCGCAAGTCAACGACGTAGAACAGGGCACATCTAGTAACTTAGAGCACCTCCACAGCTCCGGGCCGCCAAAATACCAAGACACAAACTGGCTGAATTCGAATTTGACCTCATTTGGGCCGGAGTTGTATTTCTTCCACTCGTCAAGGACCTCACGTAAAGCCTCAGTGGCACCTGCTGCTGCCCATCTTTCATTGGGAAGGGCTTTTGCGTCGACAGTGGTGCCCGTGCAAGTGGTATTCCTCCAATCCACTGCCGCAGCGACAGCTGTGACTGAGGCGCACCAAACAACAAAGCGCGTCAACTGCATGATGGAAGGAAAATTGACGAGTCAAAGAAAGAAGAGAGCCGGCCAAACTGTGGTCGACTGAAAATTCATTGGGTGTAGTGACGGGCTGACTACATGATTTAACGCCAGCGTTGTGTCTGTTCTGGAATTGGGTCGCTGAAAGCCACTTCATTCTTCATTGCTAGAACAAGGAGTAACCCTCTTCATCGCCGTCGATCTTGCGGAAAAACGTTACCAAATCATTCATATCCGGCGAATTCGGCTTTCTCGCGTAAGAAACTCCCTCATAACATGACTTAGTAACGGACAAATCCGAAAACTCAATCAGACGAGATTAGATTATCAGATCTTCACATCCTCGGCGTAAATAGCAGCCAATAGTTCGTTTGCGGCTCCGCAGCAAACATCTATTCATATAGCAGACAGAATTTTCAACCTCTTTACGACGTAAGGTTATATCACCGTTGGCTATCGCCTACAAGAAAATCTCTCGGGGCAATCCGTAAAGTCAATGCACTGCAGAAGCTAACCAGCGCCTGGGCCTCGACCATCAGGGTGCTCAGGTCATGTAAATACTGTAAATCTTGGCCTCTGTGGGTCTTCGCCTAACAATACTCCAGTCTACAAATGAATCAAGACAAAAATGGCGTATTGATCTGGCAACCCGAAAACCTTGACAAATTGAGAGACAGAATGTTGCGCAAATGCTCGGTTTTGCCGACGAAAAGCAAGGAATCTTGACTGACACACGATGCCAACGAAATCTGGGACCAGAATAACTGAAATGGCGAACGTTCCTGTTTCTGTTTCGTCTCCTGCAATTGTGGCATCTTTTGCTTGAGAAACACGAAAAAAAACTTACCAATGTTGTCTCCGTTTCAGTCGTAAGGCTTCCCCAGACTATTTGACAATTCATTAGCGAAAGACATTCTCTGCTCACAAAAAGTCACCAGAATCACACTAGCCTGTCTGGCTTTCTTGCATCTTTGCAATGCGACCGCTATCGATCCAACAAAGCTGACAGCCCGAGACGCCTACCATGACGACTCCGGCAGCGCTGAGTGCCTTCAAGTTGGCTGTGACACATCAGTGTGCGCCAAGGATCCGACCGATGCTCTTGCCGTAGCCTCTCAGGGCGTGAGTCTCATTCTGGGACCGGACTGCGCGGGATGGGCCAAGGGAAGCCCTTCGGTGGTTGATGGCGACACATCGTGCCCTGCTGGCCTACAACTCTTCAGAGGAGACCTAAGAGTATGGCGTGCGTGGAACAACGTCCAGACAAAATACAAGGGGACATTCGTGGCATGGGACAATTTCAAAGGCGCTACATGTTGGGGTAGGAAGGACGTTGACTGCATCCACGGGCCCAAACAAGTCCCCGACCCCAATACCGGACTGTGTATGCCGTGGAATGTTTAGATCTGATCTGTATTGCATCAGAGGCGGTGTCTGATGCCCAATTTCTCTTGTTTACAACAGAAACTTTTTTCAGTTTTCAATTACTACCATCCGTACTGAAATTTGCACACCTTACTTTCCTCCTGCGACGGGCGAGCGGCGATTTATGTGCAGGTGAACGGGGAGATCAACGAAGATGAAGTATTGATTCAACCTACATACTTTCCATATTCCTCGGCGTACGTTCCATACCAAAGGGTTTGCCCTTTCCAGCCATGGCCTGTCCCTCAAACCTACTTCATCAACACCAACAATTGGAATGGCATGAGGTCGGCATTTGGCCTTTCAAGCCTGCCTTCGCTCTTTTCGCGCCTGATCACCAGAAAACCGAGAAGAATATGAACACTGAGCTGAGGGCACAAATCGATGTGTGGAGGCTATAGCACGGTGTTACCAATCAGTTACAGCCCTCTTTGTTTTCGCAAAGTCACCTGCCGTCCAACATCCTCGATTGCGCCTTGAATATGCGTGCCAAACGCGAACAACAGTGCGAGGTAGTTCAATGCCTGGACACCTGTGACATTGGCTGTGTGCACTGGAGACCGGTGGATTATCTGCAGGTAGCCCCTGCCAGCGTTTGCTCAAGCGCCCGCTGACGAAACCCCCGTCCCACTGTACGCGCAGGTCGAGAAGGCCTTGCGGAACGGGTCCGTGGGGGCGAAGACTCTCTATGTATCGAGACCAGGCGCGATGTCATTTGCGACATCGAGTTGCCTCTCAATAGTTGGCCATGTCAATAGAAACTTCTGAAGGTTATTTTCGACGAGGTGATCTCCCAACACCCGTTGAGACCCGCATGAGTCAACGCCTCCTTCAAAGAATGGAACATGGAACCAAACTCTGATCGAGGTCTATCTGTTTTGGTAAGCAAAAATTCGCATGTTTGGAAGGATAAGGTCTGGCATCAAATGGAAAGGCTCAGTTTCTGTTGCGAAGGATAAGGCGCAATTGCTGCTTAGCAATTGTGGTTCCACTTTTGCAACAGTTTCTTTGAAGCTCAAGCAGAAAATTCCACTTGCGCTGGAAAACTATGACATGTTCACTTATTGCCATTGCTGGCTTTTGTCCTGGCGGCTGTGTTCCCAAATTGCCTGCGTTGCATGATGGATTGCCTGTTCGTCCAAGGCAGAAAATTGGCTTAAACCTATTTAGCTACTATTACCCTGATTCTCCGATTGTTGCGGGGAACTAGTGAAAGTCTACAGCCAAAACTTCGGCTTTCTAATGGACTGGTCGCTCGAGATCTGAAAACATGGCCTTTTTGGAGACGCGACGAGAATCGTGAGTGTCTCAGGGAGTAATAATGTTGCCACCATACACTACGAAAAACTCGGTTCCCCACGTTTACCGAATCCACCACAACATAATCTAAGGCACTGACTGCTGAGTTGTTGAACTCCATCGAATCATTCTATGAAGAGGGTGCATTTACTAAGTTTCACACTTACAGCGGCAAGCAGAATATGTAGATGGGAGGTTGCGGCCGTGAATTCCTCTCAACGCCGTCTCTGTGCATGAGTATTCTATGAGAAAACAGGCTCCTTTGTTCTAAACCCCCGAAGGCGTGCAAAACCGATTTTGAGCGGTGTTATTCAGACCGCATGAGATTTTTGATTGGGCCAGCAGCGACTCTGCATTGTCGTATCTTTCCTGATAGTGCTAACTTCGCGTTTCAAGAGCGATGAAGTGGCAAATCGAACTCTTGCCAAGTCATGTTTGAACGGCAACAGGGCTTGAGTCACAGAGGCCTATGTTGTGTCACCGTGTGCTGCCTGAAGCCTGTTTCGTCATTGGTGCATGTCAACATCACCATCTTATCGGTTACGATGAGAGTTTGATACTTGACACAATGCATGTGACAACGCTTGCTGTGTGATGTTGATTCTCATCTTCAGGCTGCGTTATCTTGCTTAGAGGGTTGCAAAAGACCCCTGTGAAGACAATAAACACCTGAATGAGTTGTTTGCGAAGGTCCAACGCTATCAGCAACAGTAGCTTTTGGATACGAGGGTCCTGACCAGGACGCGCGTCTTGCTTCGTGCCATGAGGTTTGCGTCGCAGTTAGACCCACAACTTCGTATTTGTGTTTATGCGCGCGGTTCGATCCAGTTGTAGTACTGCCTGTTGGTAACATGGCGCAATTCCCGGTCTTTGTCTCTAAGAGCGTTCGGCCACGAATGCTGCAATATAGAGGTGGCAATTTGAACCTTGGGTCCAGCAGGAGCTCTTCACGATCAGCTCGAAGTCATCACCCGACGATGAATGGGTGCTCGTTGAGGGAGGTACCACAAACCCGGCATCTATCCCATTGACAGTCGAGATAGCTGATGGCTCTATGCTACAACTGAGAAGGCGAAATTCCAGTCAAAGCCTAGAAACCCATGCCGACTTCTCAGAACTATCGAGACACGTATCCTTTGATTGATATAAAAGACCCTCAAAAGCTTCCATGACTCCAAGACTTCTTCTCCTCATCACAATCTCACCCCGAGCAACTTACTCGTCACCCGGCACACACTCTTACAACTACAAGACTTTCACCCTCTTTGCTCTCTTGAGCGGTCTCAGCCTTGTTCTTGCCGCCCCCGAAGTGGTCAAATTGGCTGATCCTAAGGCCCACTCTGGCAATGAGTTCCACGGTCGTAGGTTACGCATTATCCGCCAGTACAGATAGCATACTGACGAGTAAAGCCCCGGAATCACCCTCTGGCAACCGCCGAGCGATCCCTGTCAACGAGGAGTAAATCGTTATCACCATCAATAACCCACACAAGGCAGCTTAGCGTGCATGATGTGGACTGGGGATGGGAACTTCACCGGTAGAAAAGAGTGGATGTTCAGGCTCGTTCGTGAGGAAATGGTCAACAATATGTGCTCAAGAAAACGGAGCAGCTTCTGTTCAGGTACATGCGGCTGCGAACTGGTCGATCTCAGATTTCGTCAATAATACAAGTTGTCTCCCCACCTATATTCGAATGTCACTCGGGTTAGAGTCAGCTGCGAGGAGTTCTACGCAGCTTAGAGTACATGCCTCGTTTTGGGAGGTGCTTCCTGAACTGGAAGCAATCATTAAACCGTTAGATATGCCCATGATCAATTGCTGGCTTGTCGCCATGCCGGCCCCTTTTCCGAGTAATCTCGTCTTTTTCAGTTTGCTACTCTGTCGTTCAGGTGCAGCCGAGTCCGCCGCCCCCAGATCGTGCGATCAGGGTAAGCAGCGTGGGCCGAGAGTCGTTACAGGCCATAGATTCATGAGGCATGGACTTTGTGTGCCAGTGGCTGGAATTGAACTAGCGACTCTGGGCTCTCGAAACCTTGCCATGTACATGTCACTACACCACGCTGGCCCACATCTTCTTGCCTACAAATTAGATTGCAGTATTCAGGAAGTAAGCATTGTTCGGAGATTTCCACACATGTGCCCGCGAACTCAGGTTGTGCTAGTGGATCATGCAAGAATGATAAGCTCACAGTTGAGGCCATATGGCTGGTAAGGCTTAAAACAAGAGTTCGAGCCTAGGTACTGATCTGGATTTCCGACGGCCGTTTTTCGGCGGCCGATCAAGAAATCCAGATGGGCTTACTGTTCTCTGGACAGGCGTAAGTTTGATATGCCTTTCTTGTTTGCGGGGTGATAAAAGCCTGAAGTTCAGATCGGAAATCCCCCGCACATCCATGAACCCCACTATGATAGCGAAAGCCAAGCTCCGAGTCATCGTTCAAGGCCGCACGTTGCGATCTATCGGCCCATCGCCTGTTCGGCGCCATACCGGACCAGCCCGCTGCTTACAAAGTTATCGACCGCGTCATATCTTACGTGGGGTGTCCTCCCCCGTCTGTGATGGCATTGACGGCGTGCGGAGTGAGGGTAGGGATGTCGTTGAATTCTGTGATGTCGACTGCTTTGAGGCGGACTGCGGAGAATTGGGCCAACGAGGATCATTGGTGAATGAGGGGATGGAGAGGGGTAATACGCCTATCTCGGCTTCTATGGTCTTCTCAAATACCAGCTCATCCCTTAAAGTTTCGACTCTGGGCGGGCGAGACCAGCCACCCCACCACAGCTGGCTGAAAGCTTGCTAGGGAACTGATTTTCTTTCTGAACATGCTATTTCGCCAGGTTTTGCTCGTTAGAAATGCCGCATTTTGTCCTCGCTGCTCTAGCGTAACTCTATGTCAGGAACAACGCAAAAGCCCTAGCTTAACTCAATATCCGCGCTAATAAGAATCTTAACCGGATGGTTAGCTGTTCTTCAAGTCGTTGCTTTCCTCGGTCGCGTGGGAGCGAGTCATGCATGAAATGAAGCTTATCCTTTTCTCAACAGAAAGGAATCTGGGTATAACAGATTTAAGCAGCATTGAACCCACCCGGTTAATCGTATTAGTTTGCTGTCTCTGCAAAGTATCTTACCCGTCTGCTACCTTACATTGCCATTTCACGATCAGGTGAAATCCAACTCTACAAAATGCTCTTCACTATCATTGTCCTCTCGGAGGCTCTTGCAGCTTCTGTAGCTGCACGTCCTATTGTCGTCTCCCCCGACGTTTCCCCCGTCGTCTCCCCTGACGTCCCTTACGACTGGGCGCCAGTGTTCAGACATGGCAAACTCCCCATTGCTGTTGATATTATAGCAGGGGACGAAGGTAAAGTTTAAAGAGCCTCAAGACCTGTGCAACTGGTTCTGACGTCCTACCTAGTCACAGATGAGCCCGACCTTCAACCTAGGGACGAGGCCGTGCTTGGCTTAGATGATCAAGATGCCGGGATGTCCAATCAGCAGTACGACAAGGAGATAACTGACGTCCCTCTCAACAATGCCGTTTCCATCGCCCCAAGGGACAAAAAGCCCTCGAAAGCTCAGATCAAGGCCGACGACAAGAAGTTTCACAGGGATCAACTGAAACCAAACGACGCAAAATACATCAACAACCTCGACAGACTCAATGCTAAAAAATGTGGTGGAAACTGCCAAAACTCCCTAGACTCTCAACGCTCCAGGCAGAGCAAGGCACTAAAAGCGAAGGAGGGCCAACCAAAGCTCCCCGGCTCCAGAGCATCAAGAGGAGAAGTCAACACTAAAAAGGATGACTACAATCACGATCTGAATCACCTGCGTCAGGACAGAGGTGACATAGGTCCAAATGGTAAGAAGTCCCTCGACTCGTGGCATTCAGTAGAATCCGCCAATTCGAAGGCATCGAAGGTATCGAGAGCAAAGAAAGAAGCAGCAGCCAAAGGAGGTCATCATGGCTGAGCAGCTGAGAAATGGGTTGAACCAGCAACACGTGTGTGGATTCTAACGGGCTGGAAGTTCGAACTGTGTTTCACACAACTATCAGGGAAAGGAACGATCAAGAGTTTGATTGGAATAGGTTTTGTAGCAAATGAAATCATTTTGAATCGGGTCATCACTCCCTTGTTAACCGTGACATCTGACCATCACTTGTAGCTATGCAAATGTTGTGAGAGTGAGATTCTGTCAGTGTATAGCTGCATGAGATGAATGTATTGCTGGTTTATCGAGTAAAAGTCGCACATCTCCAGTCAGGTTTCCGCGGTTATTATGCATCAAATGGAAGCATGGCGCTTCTAAGACGCTGCTCATGGGCATTGCATGATAGGCAAGGGAGTAATCAAAACGTTGGAGCACGTCATATATGAGAATACCATTCGCACTAGACTGACTACTCAAAAGGGCCTCCAGTCCATATCCCAAAACCAAAAATTCAATCAAAATTTCTCACCAGGTTCACCGGCAGAGATGCATGTCGAACGTCACGATGAAAGCTGTCATTGGCATGCATGTTCTCCCAGCAGACCGCCGAACCAGCAACTGCTTTGAAAGCCGTTCCCTCGTATTCGATCTCCCGGCAGTCTATAATGCCACACCATCGCTGTTCAACAGCCTTGCTAATGCTGGGAAAGTTGGTTCACCCGCGGCTGCACGAGTCGGTAAGTGAGATACATCATGAATGTGGCTACACGGTTTCCCTGAAGAGTCATTTTATCCCAGTCGTAGTGGTGATCGTATCGAGACCTTTGTTAATCTCAACTAAACTCTTAACACGGACTCATGATGATAGGAAAGTGGTGATTATAAGAGCAAACAGCAGTTCAGGTAGAAGTGGCCAGGCAGGTAGATCTGTCATGACAATACACATGTGCAATATACACCCACATTCGACTGAGATAAATCAGTCCTCATATTCCACCTCGTACTCGTACTCCAATTGCGGTGCTGGGGTGATCAGTGACCTTGCCTCCTCATGGATCGATGATGCCGTCTCTAGCACGTTGGCGAGTGATGTAGGAAGAGCGTCCGCCGGCGTAGCATACGCCACAACCTCAATAGGCACAGTAGAGCTGGGATTGATGAACGGCAGGGACTTGACCCCGAGATCGCCAAGCTCCGCCTCGCAGTCGCCGTTCTCGCAGCGCAAAAAGCCAAGGTGATCAAGCAGTTCCCCATCGGTCGCCTTCCGCGTAGAGTTACCTTCGTCCACCCACACATCCTCGGGATTGAAGTTTTCCGGGTCAAAGTCTTCCTCGTCGTCTCTCTTGTTGTAGCCCGGGCGGTTGGTCTTGCCAGCGATGATATTGGCCCCAGGCGCATTTCGATACAAGCGGGTGTTTCGCTTGCTGGCCGGGTGGGCGTTGTACCAGGGGTCGTTGGTCATCAGCGCGAATCCCGGGTCATCAATGAGGGTCTTGGGATAGCACGGGTTGTCAGGGATACCGTCGTCTGCGAGATTCGGCATATTGATGAATTTCATCTTCATCACCTTCGTCGTCGCCGTCCGGGTCACCACATACTTGGAGACAAGGCGCTTGCAATTGCGGACGACCTTGAGGAGGCGTTTGTTCTGCTCGGGCGACATTTTGTACTTGGCGGGACAGACGCCCCTGAAGAGCTGACCGGCACCTCCGTTTTGTGCTCCGGGCACGAGGCGGATCCATTGTCTCATGTCGCGGCCTTGCCAGATAGCGGCCGGAGGGTACTCGTCGCGTTGGCAGTTGATGTTTGCAGACTGCATCCACCCATTGATCCACTTAGTATGATGGTCCTTGCTGTACTTTTCAACGACGGGCCTGATGCCGCCGCCGCCGGCCGCTGTCGTGCAGGTCAGGGCGGCCATGCCGTTCTGGTTCTGGATAACGGACTGATAGTGCAGACAAGGCTGGGGATATAACGCGCCGTTGCACGTCTTCGTGACTGTCTGACGCATCTGGATAGTTCGTGTCGACGTCTCCGATTTGGGACGGAGAGCTGCGCGCTTGGCCAGACGCTTGCTGTCTTTCAGGTCGCAGTGGCCATCCTTCTCATCCGCCTTGTCTGACTTGCCTCGGTCGCCGCGGTCGTTTTTGGTGGTGAGTGGCTTATCCAGCTTGACGTCGTAGTCCTTGCCTCGGAATTTGAAGACAGACTTGCCACCCTTAACGATGCCCTTGGCACAGAGGTTGGCAAGTGCAGGAACGGCAGCCTGAATTGCCAGACGGATGATCCAGCCTAACGAAGAGCGAAGTCGTTAGCAGGCAATTCCGCGGAGAAACATATTCGGCGCAACGGAAGTGGACTGTTGAACTTACCGACGATAGGAATGAAGGTCAAGGGCGTGAGGGCCGCCGTGATCGCGATTCGGCAGAATGCCTTGGCGGCGACTTCTAGAGCCAACGCTTCAGCCGCGGCAATTGCAGCGTCAGCTGCTTCGTCCTTGATCTTCTCTTCCATCTGCTCCTTGCTGATGGGTGGCATGAAGCCTGCACAGCAGTAGCTCTGGGTGCCTCCGCTGCAGGTCTGGTCCTCCTTGTCGCTGTGATGGTTGGTGTTCTGTGTAATTTCGGTCTCTAGATCAGCGCAGCCTCCAGTGCACGCAAGGCCAAGTCCTCGGTAGCCTCTCCAGCGGCACTTGCCCATGGTGGTACCCTTGTTGCAACAGAGTCGGCGAAACTTGTTCTTGGGGCATCGATCCATGGTGGAAAGCCCTGGCTGCCCGTTCATCTGCGATGCTTCATGGTCACCCTTTCGGCAAGACTCGCCGCACTTGGTGGTGTAGCAGACACCCTTGACTTCTTCGTCGGCGATCATGTCTTCCGAAAAAGAGATTTCTTCGTCCGACCAGTCTTCGGGATACTGCAGACTCTTGCTCGATTGATCGACTTGGTCCAGAGCCCAAATCATGGAGCCGCCTACAATAATATTGACCCAATCAGCTCTGTTCATCTCACCAACAGCGCAGGCCACCTTCCATCTGTTTTACTTACCTAGACAACGAGAGTTTGCAAATGACTTCTTCATCATTAGAGTCTGAGAATCATCATATGACACCCACTGATCACTGTCCCAATGAATCCCTGTCCTCCTGTCAGAATGGATATCAAACCTCGTCGCATACGCCGGGGATATAATCACATTTCACTCCTGCCTTCTCATCGAACTGAGGCTTCAGATTCTTTTCCTTGATGATATCAAAGATTTCTTGCAAGGTGAGAATGCCAGACGCCTTGGAACACGGGCCTTCCTTGGCTCCGCCTGAGAACTGGCAAACGCCATTGGGCTTGTTGCAATTGGGATCCTTCAAGGTGAACGAGCGACCGTAATCTACATCGAGGTCAGTTTATGGAAGTCTTCAATAACCAGAAATACATACACCCTTGACCGAGAACAACTTTCTCGGGTTTGAGGCCCGCGCGCCAGAGAAGATCTAAGCCCAAATCGATCTCCGTGAGATTAGTGTGCGGAGCAACGATAGGACCAACGAATTTCGAGGCGGCATCCCACACGCCGTGAATATCATAAGACATTATGTTGAACCAATCAACAAATGGCTGCATGCCGGCAAGGTCAAAGTTCTGCAGGTACCAGTAAGATGCTGGCAGAGTGATGGAGTAGCCAAAGCGAGTGCCGAACGCCGCCTTGATCTCTTTGCACAACAACACGAAGTTGGCGGTGTCATCTGCGGTGCCACCACGGTCATCTGTTGCATTGAATTAGTTTGATGAGGTTGCTCGGGCCTTTACGACTGGGAAAGCTCACCAGCGGTTGGGTATTCCCAATCCAGATCCATGCCGTCGAAGCCATAGCTCTGGGTAATAAAGAGTATTAGCGCCAACTTGCTATTCGGGCAGACTACACTCTCACCTCCATGAATTTGATGAGGCCATCGATGAACATCTTCCTGTTCCCAGCACTCGATGCCATTGTACTGAAGGCTTTTTGGTAAGGGCCAGCTATGAGAGAGAATCAAGTCAGGATGGTTGCTTTGGAATGAAACCTGCTTGGGAATGGAACCGAGAGGCAGAAGTCTTGGATGAGGGGGACGAATAAGAAGAAGCAATTGCACATACGATCATTAAATGACCATCCGCCGACGCTGACCCAGGTCTGTAAGCCAGCCTTCTTTTCCTTGAGCTTGGTGAACCGATTCAAGAGGGTGCCGGCGTTCTTGTCCATGGGGACGATCTGAAATGAAGACGGGTCGAAGAAGACGAAGGCGAAGTTAATATGCGTGAGACCGTCTAAGTTGAGGTCCTCGGGGGAGACAGCGCTGCAGGCTCTGGTGTTGGCCCAGGACTCGTAGTAACCTATAGAGCGCTTGTTGATGCTGCCGCCGTCTTTGCTGCAGGAGGGCCGCTTCACATCACCACAACCGCCGAAGCCCTTTTGGCAGCCGGCATCGCAGAACTCCGAGGTTGAGCCACAGAAGCTATCGCAAGCGATGTTAACCCACCTCCAGACTCAATCCGAAGGATATGACGACAGAATGGCTTACCCAAATTCGGAGCAACATACTCCAAGGGGACAAATCTGTTTCCCAGGCTTGCCATACTGGCCACACTCGGCTTTGGCATCGCAGTTGGAAGTGCAGTTGGCAGCACCGCATTCCGCTGGAGAGTAGCCACACAGACCGCTGCCGTTCTACGTGGGAAGACAGAAGAGTTAGTTAACATACCGGAGATAGGCATAAAGAAGACCAATAACTTACACCACTACAGCAGGCACCGTTCACACATGGCGTGTTAGCGTTGCAAGTTCCCACGGGAAGCTCTAGGTCCTCAGCAGCGACAGTGTCCTGCAAAAGACCGTAAGCTGAGTTGAGGGCGAAATAAGATTCTGCGACGACATGGCGTGAAAGAGTGGACAGGACCAAAGTGACCCATGAAACCTGGAGGAACCGCATGGTTGTAGAGGTTACCCAGCAGAAGAGATTACAGAGAAAATGTAAAATGAATGAAACTCGGCAATGACTGTGGATGGGCGCACGTCAAGAGTTTCGTCACTCGTGCGGATGTTCATGGTCATTTAAGAGCTTTCCATCTGTTTTCTCATGTTATTCATCCTCTACTTGAAGATGAAGAACCCATCTCCCTCGGTCGGTCACGATTTTCCGTTTGGTCGTCTGCCGGCGGCGCCCGAATGCAGGGGTTCATGCGCCTTAATCGGCAGGTGAATCGGTTCCCGCAGCTCTAGGGGCGGGAATGCCCTTGCGATGTCTGACACCCTTGCAGAAGCTTCGGACGAGTCAAATCTGACCTGCAGCGCCTAGTGCTTATAGTTAAAATTGTCGAATCAGCTCAATGCAACCCGGTCCAGCCCTGCGCTCGCTTTCTTACCGACGGGTTGCACATGCTTCTAAATGCAGGGTGCGAGCAGGATTCGAATCCATGGGCTTGGTATTGGTTTTGGTCGGCCCAGATGTCCTTGGCAATGAGCTTGATATGCGAGCTCGTGGTTCATGACCAAGATACAGCATGGCTATCATCCAGAAAACAAGTCACGGACAGAAACCCCTTACCATTGCGTCCGTCTAACGAGACACACATGGGTCACATGTGGTATTTGAGGGCACAAGGATGATATCGGTGCCTATTTGGGGCCAGATCTAGACTCTCGGCGAGAAATGTCTCAATCTGCTCAGCCGAGGCAAGGGTTGACGGAGACCCAGGGACATGCCCAACGCATTTCCACGCTTCCAGCGCGAGCGGGAATATCAAAACTATTGTCAATGGCGACAAGAAGAGTCTTATTAAAACTTGGGTAGCCTACCCATTTTAACCTACCAGTCGTTGCCCTGCCCACCTTTCATCTATCACAAGCTGTCACTCTTTCGTCTGTGATGATGTGGTCAATTCAGCGAGGCCTTACTAGGCTGGCATTTTTGCCATTCGCCTTGGGCGAGCTGGGTTTCCAACTGTATCCGCTCGTTCCTGCCCAGCCGATGGCTGAGATGCTCGGTATCAGCGAAAACTGCGTCAAGGCTCTGTGAGTCTCCCCCTAAAAATGCCTACGTCGGTCCAGACGACACTAATACCGCCAGCAATGCCACCTTGCCATGCGACAAGGACCTGTTCGGGTGGACCGTCAAAGTCGACGATGTCTACTGGACTGAACAGGATGCTAGCACCCTGTGCGTCCCAGGCTGCGAGACCAACGTCCGGACATGGACAGAGACCGTGGCCTCCGCTTGCGCAGAAGATTGGCTCGTTGTCGGCGACCGTGCCGTGCCGGCTGAGACGCTCAGTCTCCGCTTTGCAGAGGGTCTGGAGATGGCCTGCCTCCGAGATACGAACAACAAATGGTGCCTGCCGGCGTCTTACAACTGGACCGGCTCGGACGTCGTCCAAGTCGACTGCGCAGCAAGTCCGGCGGACCCGTGGTGCATTAACCCGGCCAACGTGTCCGCTGAGAACAGCCGCATCTCAACGTTATACGATGATGATTTGCTCTGTTCCGAGTGTTTCCTCAACATGCTCTATCGCCGCGTCACGTCAGAGTTCCTCCCAGACACCGACCACTCTGACTATCTCGTTGGCGAATTCCAGGACATCCAATCGGTCTGCCAGACAAGCATCGGCCCCTTGGCCACGCGCGCCGTCCCGTTGTACCCCTACGCCACGGAGCTCAACGAGACGGCCCCGGAGCCCACGGATATTCCGTCCACGGGCGCTCCCATCGTCGGCGATGACGGGTCCCCGTGGGACCCTGAAGAAGACACCGAGGACCCCGGCATTGATGAAGAGATCCCCGACGGAGAAGAGGATCCGGACGAAGCCGAACCGGAGCCGGAGCCAGTCGAACCGGTGGTGCCGACAAACTGCACCGGGCGGGCAGTCGATGCTCGGTACGCTAGCCTAGACGGTATCGAGGCTTGCAATGAACTCGCTGAGGAGTACGGTGTCGCAACGGGCCAGCTCATGTTCGCAACAAATGCGGAAGATTGCTACTCATACGACTTTGTCTGTGTACCGGAAGCCTGCGAGCTACTCCGCGTCAACACCGGAGATACTTGGTCTGTACCATGATCTTGCATCTTAACACCAGATCCATTTGACGGGTTGCTAACTTTTTCATCGCTGAAACAGTGATACCATCTCGAAAGCCATATCAAATGACACGGAGCCGATCAGCGTTGCACAGCTTATGACCTGGAATCCTAACCTGATGGGTGCCTGTGATCATCTGACTGAAAGCCAGTACCTATGCATCTCGTAAGTATCCCGTACTTCTAGAACCCATGAGCTTGCAACCGTTTGGCGCTCGGCCGCTGAAACTCTTGACCTTCCAGACGACCTGGCGGCACTTGGGTGAAGCCGCCTGACGACCAGATCCCCGACGACTCCAACGGGCCTGTCCGCGGTGGTCCGGGGAGCACCGAGCTTCTCCCCATTATCACAGACCCCTCCACCGTCCCGGCCGATCGCAAACAAGAGGGCGTCCCGGCGAACTGCAACCGCTTCGTCAAGGCGGAGAACACCGCTGCTTCATGTTGGAAGATCGCCAACGACGCGCAGATCACGCAGACCAGGTTATGGGAACTCAACCCGGCCTTGGGCACCGACGGCGAGCACTGCGGGACCCAGATTTGGCTCGGGTATTACTACTGCGTCGGCGTCCCGGGCGACGGCACCACCGGCCCAACCACCACGCAAAGTCTCCCGGCAACGACCGCATCCGCGACAGCCTCGTCCATTCCAAAACCGACACCGCAACACGAGGGAACAGACCCCAATTGCAACAAGTGGACGCAGGCCGGCGACGGTGCTGGGTGCTGGCAGCTCGCCACCGACGCGGGCATCGACCTGGCGCTGTTCTACAGCTGGAACCCCGTGCTGGGCGCCGCGGGTGAGAATTGCGGTACCATGATCTGGCCTACGTACTACTACTGCGTCGGCGTGGCTACCGGCTCAGGAACGCCGACGACGACGGTGGCGCCGCCGGCGACCACCACCGCTCCGGCCAAGCCTTCGAACACGCAGGCAGGCATTCCGGACAATTGCAGCAAATTCGCCCAGGCTGGGGACGGCGCTTCTTGCTGGCAGCTAGCAACTGACAACGGCATCGAGATGTCGGTTCTGTTCGCGTTGAACCCTGTCCTTGGACCAGCCGGAGAGAACTGCGGGTCGCAGATTTGGCCGACGTATTACTATTGTATTGCTGTTAGTTGATAATCTGGACACTGCACGGATTCAAGTATGAGGATTCGCTGTAACATGAATTTCTATCTGCTTCTTTGCAACCTGAATTTTACCATGAGGTTATCTACATCGATGCGAAAGTACGCTAGTGCATGTTCTGTTTGAGCAGAAAACCTGATTTACGCGTCTGACCAGTCGTACTCGTCGTCCAAGATGGCTGCGCGAGCAGGAACGGCAGCCCTGAGAAAGTCATCTTTTCTGAAGGCGTCCGGCCAGCCGTAATCACGGTACAACTTCTTCATTGCCTGAAATTCATCAGTAATCAATGCCTTTGGATGTCACACGCAGCAGGGTAGAGCTGTGTATTCGCGATTGGGGCTCACCTTGGCATCCGGGTCATTCACCGCTCGAATAGCAGCCCCAAAGTTTCCCGCAGCAGGTGCCGGGACCAGCTTCAGATTTGAGATATCCTTGTGCATCTTTTCGAAGAAGGTCTGGAATGAGACCGCCTTTGCGCTGAGCCATGGCGCGTCTCCTTCGGCCTCGGCAGGGGCGTCATCATACAGGTAGTAATCGTCGCCCTGAGGATAGACACATCCTGCACTTCTCTTAGTATACTATACAGCAGAAAAGATGAATATTAAGAAGCCAAACCTCTTTCCGTATCGATGAGCCAAATCACTCCGATTGCAGCTTCGTCATATGTCAAGGATACCATATGCGGCGGCAATGGTTTGTCAAAAGGCGCCAACCCAAGCATGGCAAAAGGCCGTTCATGCCAATTTGGGTCTGGGTCCTTTTCCGGCTGCCACTTGTTTCTGAGGTAGGACAGTACCTTCGTTTCATAGTAGACCACCGCGTCGTCGCCCGCTTCGTCAGTACTGGGGGGTCCCGCTCGTGGATACGGAAGATGTCGTAAAAGGTCAATGACCTTGTCAGAGCGGCCCAGGGTCCGCAGCGCGTCGACGTTAAGCTCCTCATCGGCCCATCCCGTTTCGGGTGGCGCCTGAAGGGCTTCCGGGTGCAGATGGCCCATGTCCACGAGCAGGCGGTAGTGGCCCTTCACGAGTGAGACGACGGTATCTCGGTCGTAGCCGAAAGCTTGGGCAGGCTCTCGAGCAGGCGTCTTCTTCTTGCGACGGAACATTGTTGCGCAGATTGAAAAGAGGATGAGTGGGTAAATTGCTGTTCTTTAAGTCTGAAAACGGGGGAAGAGGCAGTTCTTAAGATAAGCTTACTCCTAGGCGGCAAGAAGGAAGCGGGGTTCATGCAGGGTGGCCGCTAATAGTCCACGCAACCCCTCCTCCCTGCATGCTCTGTCGACAAGGGTGATCGGACAAACGAGATTCACAATGGGATGATGGAGAACAGGAAAGGAGAAGAGGAAAAGACGAAATGGAACAGACCACATTTCCTGAGACGGTTTTCTTTTCGACATCTCAGTGCATCTAAAGCGAGAAGAATGATTGTCGACGAACACTCGCACACTTCTTTTTGCCCGTATGTTCTTGCTCGCTCCACTAGAGCAACACAGTGCCAAACTCCCTGTTGCACTTCGTTCCACTAGCTCTTCTTACGGCCATGTAAGTATCGATAACAATGACCTGTTCCACAAGTCGATTTCCTGCCTGGCTCACCCTGCTCTCTATAGCATGCGGCTGGATTGGGCGCCAGAACATAAATTCTCAGTCATGCTCAAATTCGGAATCATTTGGTATCCTTGTAGGACGAGCTGCACAAGGCGGCCAAGGACATCAATACGCAAACTAAAACCATCATCATAACAAAGAGGGTTAGTTCCCTAATTTGATGACCGGCTAGCGCTGGTGAAAAGCGATCTTTGAAAGAAAAGAAAAAAAAGGGAGAAAAGAGTTTCTTATGCATGCATGTGGAATTTCCAGAACAGCCTACGGCACGGCCGCTATAGGACGATATCAATTCGTACGACGTTTCTATCTTTGTACTATTACTACTAAGTTCCCAACGGTTGTCGGGTATTCTTTGTACGTGATTTATTTTAATATTTTCGGGTCGCATTCTTTCGGAACCTTATCATCTGAGCCACTTTATCCAGAATCCGAGCTTTTTACGTGGTTGAACCCACAGAAAATATTTTTGAAGCGTTTCTGGCAAGTTGGAAGACGGATTCCGCTTTTTGTAAGCATTAGCTCGTCTGATCATCATGTTCCCGGTAGCGCAAAAGGTTTTTCCAGGTCCTGTGGATGAAGAAGTTGAGCTCATCGAAGAGGAGGCAGAACTCGTGGCGGACAGAGAGCTGGATATAGGTGGCAAACTCGTCGTGTTTGAATAACTTGAGAAGGGTACAGAACTCGAAATGGGCAAAGAAACCGTTGTGTTCGAGAAACTAGTGAAAGGCAAGGAAGTAGATGTGACTGAAGGACTTGTGACGGCTGGCGAACTTGTCGTTGGGAAGGAAGTCGAACCAGGCAAAGAATCTATTGTGGGCGAGGAACTCGGTACGAGCGAAGAACTTGATTCTGGCGATGATGTCGAGGCAGGCAAAGAACCCGTACTAGACGGAGAGCTTTCCGTAGGCAATACACTCAATGTAGACGCCCCAGAGGGATTCGAGACTGGTGAAGGAGTCACTGTGGCGGAGGAGCTTGATAGTGTGAAAGAGCTCGATACGGTCGACAGGCTCGATACAGGTGATGAGGGCGAGATTAGTGTTGTTTGACTTGCTGAAGAGAAATCGCTCATGATGGACGAAGAGCCGATGATAGTACTGGATGGACTCATCGTAAGGAGTGAAGATCTGTTGTTGAGGCTTGATGTAGATGAATTAATTGAAGGGGGGTTAGAAACAATTGCCGAAGGCGGTGTTGATATTGCGGTAGAGGTGGGGTTTACGCCACTCTCCGAGGTGAATGCTGTTGACGCTTTAGTAAGAGAGCTCGCTGTCGACGACGACGACGAGAATAGAGATGAGGAAGGCGATGTTGACAGGGAATGTGACGCCGAAAAAGAGGACAGCGAAGCACTCCGAACGGGCGATGACGATGAAAGGCTTGAGGGCGGGCTCCGCGTCGCCATCGAACCTAATGTAGTGATTGAGACTGACGACTGTGTGCTAGGTGATGCGAAGCTGCCTGGAGGCCCACTGGTTGGGTCTATGGTAATTAAACTGACTGTTGGGCTGCTCGAGGATCCTATCAGGCTTGAGGTCGTGGCCGACAATCTCGAACTGTCCATGTCCTGACTAGACGAGCTGGGGACAACGATCTGGCCGTTTTGACATTGTTCGACTAAGAGATTTCTGCAATTAGCACTTCGGTGATCGTCCAGAAATTTCGGGCTTTAATCAATCTCACCTGTGTATGCTACAAGAGAAACTGGGTCGCAGTTAGGCGGCCTCGAAGCAAAGGCTATATAGACCTGTGCAGTTCGATCCTGGCAGAAGCTTGCCTGATCGACGGGCAGGATCGGGTTTGAGAACCGAAGAACCCCTTCGGAAACACTGAATGTAGTTGTCACGGAATCTTCTGGCGGTGTTCCTCCCACATTGAGAGGTTTATAGCTCTCGCCAGCATAGAAAACAGGTACACCATCGACTGAGAGCTGTCCAAAGGCCAAGTCGTAGGGTTTTGCGTTGTTGCAATTTTTGCTATCTTCATTGGTATTCTCGACCACAAAGCCCCCTAGGACTCTCCTTCTCAGGCTTCGCTTTACAAGTGTTGGGCCTGGAACAACGAGAAAAATCAAGGGTTGAACGGTCGCGGCCGACTCTGACGATAAGGGAACAGAGTTGGAGCTGGTGGTACTGAATTGGGGTGGATTTGACGAAGCTGGGACGTTGGATCTAGATGTGAATGACGATGAGAGAAGTCCTGATGAGGAGGCGAGAGCAGAGGGTTGTTGAGATAGAGCTGGTCCTGTTGACGTTGCCCTGGATGTATCGGTAAGCAGTGTGGAAGGTGAGAATGTCAAGGCGGTGAAGGATGATGGCGATGAGAGAAGGAAAGAAGGCGGTTGCAGAGGTGGAGATGTTCCTGTCGAAAATGGCCTTGTCGATATGCCCGTCAGTATCGTGGATGGCGATGCTGAGAGCGAAGGACCCAACGACGCAGACAAAGTCTCGGAGACGCCATCTGAGAGATTGGTGGACGCTTCAATTCCCGTCCCAACCGATGATGTTGTGGTGCTATTAGAGCAGACTGAACTCAACACTGGCTCTAGATAAGTCGAGAAATATGTAAAGCACACTGTCGATGGATCATCCTGATCCACCTGAGGTGCAATAGCACTTGCAATGATCTTTGGTATTACCAGGGAACCGGCGAGCAATAGAGGCTTCATTGCGAACAGACTGGAACCTCACAGCTCCAAAACGAGTCAAATCATTATGGCTGGATGGCGACGGTCCAGCAAAATACAAATACAGTTAACCTGGGGATATGTGGGGAAAGTAAGGGAGTTTCGTGCGTGAGATCTTCATAACAAGGGGGCTTATTGCAGTGCTGTCATGTTTTAAATCGACTGGTTGATCAATACTTCGTATACTGTGATTGGTCGACAGCCAGGTTTGAATCTGCTAGAATGGGTCTTGCCGAGAAGAAGGCGCAGGGAGCCCAAGACAGTCTCACGAAACGCCACGAAAGGAGACGGACCCGAATGCCCCGCTTACTTCGGACGTAACTGTGGAATGTTGTATGGGAAATAAACAGGGAGCAGAGTTCCCATCGGGCCGGGTGTGCTCATTCAATGGGTGCAGTACTAACATTTGATCTCAGCCTGGGCTAGCTGATGACAAGTGGTTGTTGTTACTCGGTCCGAGACTGATTAAACATGTGCAAAAATGTATCGTTACAAATCTCGTGATCATAAATGAACCCGCCCTCGTGCTTTCAGCCGTATCCCATTGATGTCCATGAATCTCTTGCGGCTTCATCCAACAACAACCGGGGACTACATTTCAAGAATAATGAACTTACACATGACTTTCCTTGCATAAGCCTGTGGCGTGGATCCTCAAAAGCAACTCTTCAGCATGATGAAGGTTTAAGGCACGCATCAGTTTTGTCCTCTATGAGTGTCATTGAACTGGTTAACTGGGCTTTCCGCGAGGTTCCGCTACGGAGACGGCGCATGCTACAAGAGGCAATAAGCGCTCCCTCTAAATGGCAGCACTGGCATCAACACCAATACAGGCACTAGATGGTACACCCAAAAGTGCCCCAAAAGTGCCCCAAAAGAGATATCGCGTGCATCGGATTAACTGTGTAGAATTCAGTCACTTCTTCTGTGAGTACCTGGAATACATTATCAGCTGAATCAGATTAATCGAAAATCTGAACTCGGTCGTACCTTGGGAGGGCAACTTCTTGTCAGAAGCATCACATGATATTTAGCCGACTCTCATGGAATTTGTTCCGTGACACATTCATACTAGATTCACGTACTATCATATCTACAAAGCGGATAGATCCAGTGGAGGTACTTCAGCCAGTGCTCCGTTCGGTAAGAAAATCGAATTATACATAGCCAAGAGCCCGGACGGAATGGTTTGATACATACCGCTTTTACCTACAGTAAATTCTGGCCGACGCACATTTCAGAAGGAAGTGTCATCAAACACAAAAATCCCCCAAAATGCATTCGTATGCGGCTCTGCGACTGGGAAGATGGTTTAATGGTTGTCTACGTGACAGCTCAGATGGCGGACAAGGGCTCTCGGTCTGTTTAAACGCCACACAAGGCGAATAAGTGAGGCGGCTAGGCACCCTTCGGCAGCCTCGCCCGGTGCTCGGTGACAGGTCGCGTCCCACTAGACTTAGCATAGCCGAAATACCATAAAGAACTGACTTCGCCATCGCACTCATTTCAGTTCTGACTACCTCAGCGTCAATCAACCTTACTGAGCGTTTCCGCGTAACATACGACTCCTCCATTCACTGTCTTCAGTGGGATTCCATACCCCTTCTAAGGCATACCGTTGATAGGCCGGCGCCATGTCTTCCTCACAGCATCCTGCTGAACTTCCACGCCGGCATACCCATAATTCGCACCAATCTTCGTTCATATCACGGCTTAGTCGAAAGAAACATAGAGCGGACACCATGTACAGCGGAAAGAGTACACAGTCTCAAGATACCACTGTTTCTAGCTCATTGTATGATTACTATTCATCCTACGAGATTACATGGGATACTTTGAAGGCATTTTTGCAAACAAAATGGCCGGAACGGCAATTTCCAGACGATGGTGAAAAGGTAAATTTCATCGAACTGGCCGTTTACTATTGCTGACTACGTTGTGCCTTGCTAGAAGGGTGACCGGTGGGTTTTCGAAGTACCAGAAAGGCTCACGAAGGTATGTCCATGATACTCCAATTGCTTATCTATGAAAGAGTGACGCTGAGAGCTTACAGGAAGATCGAAACGAACTTGCCGCCTTGCGAGATGTTAATCAAAAATCAGCTCAACGGAAACCCTCATTTTCGGACTCCGAAGGTTGAATAAGTTTTTAAGACAAGGGGCGGGCTCATCATATGGGCGGGCCTTGAGTTGTTGAATCCATTGATTGGTTTACCGCTCCTCAAGTGATGGTGCCCTGGAACCAATGGCGGTGGCATGCGATCGGAAAGAAAAGAACCTTGCATTATCTATGCGACAGACAAGACCGACACCATGTGCGCCCACTGTAATTATCTAGACTTCCAACGCCAAAGCCGAGTTTTGTTTTTTCCTTGTTCTTCTTTTTTTGGGTAGACATACAGAAATAGGTGCCCCAAAAGTAGCCGATCATACGACAACGAGGTTGTAAAGATGTATTGAAACAAGGCAGCCTCTAGTTGCCTAAATCGGGCCGTAGGGAGATCAGGCTCTGGGACAGGAACCACGCAGGCTGTATGTATTCATGGATGCCAAGACTGCATGTGGCAATGGGATGATTGGGGATGCCCCACACAGAGTCAGCCTAGCCACGTCTAAAAGCGCCTGACTGGGGCGGATGCAGATGATGTGGTGCAAGACACGGAATGTGATGGTCATGCGCCTTGTTGAGTAGGCAAAGTGCACTTTAAGCGGCGTCCGCAGCTTATGGCACACATACGTGGAGGGGTCCTACGGGGCATTCTCAGAAGTCCTAGACATGGGATTTGCGCAAATGCGTGCGCCAAAGATAAGCCAGCGACTCGGTGATGCACCCTTCCCTGGCAGTGAAGATACCGTAACAACTGCGACTATGCGGCTGCGCTATCAAAGTTGATGCCATAACTACAACACAGGGGATCATTGAAGCATCGAAAAAGTCTGGATCTCATTGAATTCTTCGTCAACTTAGCTCATTATCGTTCTCTTCAATGGACCCTGTGAATCCCCTACCGGCGGAATTTCAAGCATCTTACGACGAAAGAGACAGATACCCGCAAAATCTCCTTCAAAGAAGTATTAGCACCTACCCAATTGCACTATCGAGATACCTAGAGAGACTGGATAAGGCCTCAGACGATCTCTGTGAAAGAGACGTTGAGAAGGTGGACGTATGCTTCCGAGACCTCAAGACTAATGATGGGGCTGGAGAAGGTTTGACATGGCCATCTCCCGAGTGCTTGTCGGATGGGGCGTATAAACTGACAAAATTGGCAGACGTGTCGAAGCGAAATATTCACTCCCCAACCACTCTTACACAATGGCTAGGAGTCCGGCAAATCGGACGTGGGTCGTCGAATCAGCTACTGGGCGTGGCTAAGAAAGACCCAAAGTGCCGATTTATGTGCGTAACAAACCTGCATTTAACCTTCATGTTTCTTTCTTATTGGCAGGATTAATAATCTGATAGCTACATCTATGGCCGCAATTCGCGCGCGCGTCTCAATATCACTCGGTCAATGTTGACGGAAATTCTCACCTTTCATCAGGTAATGCCGGATATCCTGGAGTTCTTGCTTGTTTATGGACTCCAGAGTGAACCTCGCGATCTCAGTTTCAGCAGTTTCCGAGAGCAACGTTGTCTGAAGCAGTCCTACGGGAGATCTTGCATCAGTAGCCTCGGTCGCTCTGGAAGACAGTACCAAATATGCTACAACCTGAAAGGAGTGACGGCCAAATCCAAAGATCCCGAGAATCCAGACTTTTCTATTCGCCCAGCTGCCTTTTACCATAAGTTCGACGTCGTAGGCGGAAATGCCCTTTGGATTGTTGTCAAGGGAGGGCTAGATGTACAAGAACGATTCAAAGAGTTGACAGGGAATAACGCTCGGCCAGAAGACAAGTCGTTCGGTGATGCAATAGAATGCTTCCGATCAAGCCTCTCAGCTCATTTGATGTTCTGTCGTTGGTCCACAGAAGACTGGAGAGCATACATCAAGTGGCTTGAACAGGTTGTTGATACTGAGGTTAGTCATATCTCTGAAGCATACGACTCAAAGGCTCGCAAGCTCATGGACACGTCTCAGACCAAGATGGCTCTGCTGGCGCCAACAACAGGTGGATATCACTACACGATCTACACAGCTGCAGACATCCAACGTTTTCTGATATGGCAGGAGAAGATCAGCGAGTCTATCACGGTGCTTGAGTCGAACATCGAGGTCATGAAGTCTCTCATGCGGTTTTATACAAAATTGGATGAGAATCAAGACTTCGACCTACGCTCATTTTGCACAGATGATATTGACGAGTTCTGCACACAGCTATACAACATGGTCAATGATTTCACCCTACAAATTAGTCGAGCGAAAGCACTAGTGAAGTTAACTGGAGACCGGGGCGAGCTGATCAAACAACACCGGCTAGAGCGGCTGAATCACAACATGGAGAAAGAAGCAATCTTGGTGAGAATTGTCACTATCGTGACCTTAATTTACCTGCCAGCAACATTTGTGTCGGTAAGCTGAAGGAAAACCTAACCATGCGTGCAACGCTGTTGCCTTACTGACGTCAATCGCAGACCTTTTTCAGTACGGACATCATCAAGTATCAAGATTCAGATTCGCCCAAGGGCACTTTCTCGCCGATTGCAATGGAACGATGGCTGCAAGTGACTCTTCCGCTCACCTCTCTGACGCTCTTGGTCGCATACTACGGAAACAAATGGGCGGATAGCAAATCTCGAGGGAGGATGCTTCCCACTGCCCGCGTCGTTTCGTCCAGGGACCAGGAGGAGAGCAGCAGCACCGGGGAGTTCGGGCATACCGGGGCCGGAATCGGTCCCACAACACCATTCATGAGTACGCCGGCACGCCCCACATGGGTCAATCGAGCATGGCGACCTAAGAGCTGGAGGCCACGTTCAATCCCGCTAGTACCGATCAAAAGCACTTCCTTTAGTCCGTCTCAAATCGTGTGAAGGAAATTCAGTTGCGAAAGGGCCGTCTTTGGAGCCACTCGTGTAAAGATCAAGACGCTGGTATGGCATGCACCGGAAACAGTGGATGCCCATGAGGGGGGCGAGATTACAAAGATTGGGGATCTAAGATATTAGACATCTCACACTGAACGTACTGCCATTCGCTTCAGGCTTATTTTTGTAAATGTACAATTTGGACATGCTGTGTCACCTTACATGAAGTATTGCGCCTGGGTGCGTTTGTGACAAAAATACTATCCGGCATTGGCGCATCCAATGGTCACAAGAATGAGACGCGATTGAAGTGGAGGCGTAGGCAAATAAGTGAGGCTGCAGGCCGGCATCCCAAACGATACATTCTGAGCTGATCAGCCTCCGTGTTGTTAGGCACGTTGTCAAGCACGATGGTGACGGTCGCGGCGCTGCATGTCAGCAATTTTGTCTCACAGCATTTATCGAACGGCTGCATAGGCACGCATGCGGTTGACCAATCGTTCATTTTCCATGGAGACAGTAGCCGCAAGGCAATTCTGGGATCAAACATGGTGGTGGCCTGAAGCAGGCAGAAGGTCTCTGCCTTGTACGCCTGATTGTGTAGCGGTGAAGCGCAAACCAGTCACGGGTGGTTCGCGTGCACTTTGAGACCACTAACAACACAGAGAACCGGTCATGACCATGGTGAAGCGCGACCAGCTCAGCCCCCTCCCCAACATTCCCATTTCCGCCTCAGCCTCAATATCGTCTGAGTAGAGCGCTGCACTGCCGGCCAATTCATCTGTCCTAGTTATGTCTGTCCTTCCACTTCGTCTCACCTCTTTATTATCGAGAAGTCATCGAACGCTTGTCAGGTTGTCAATGTTGGGCATTTCGACTAGTTTCACCTAGCTTTACAAGCCGTTTTCTCAACGCTCCCTGAGAAGTTTAGTAAGCATGGATGGCACACCGCTGCCAAACGACATCCACACAGAGTTTCTCTATTATCTTCAGAGTGATGGTATTCGCAGAACGAACTTCGAGGGGAAAGAATTCTACTTTCCAAGGCAAATTTCCCGATGGCTCCTTCAGAAAGGGAGCAACGCAACATCGAGTAGAGCTGCGCGGTTGTTTTCCGCGATTTACGACAATCGAGAAAGTTCTACTGGGAAATTCTTTCCTACTCTGAAAGACAAAGATGTTGAACGCGACCCCATCTTATTCGCAATCTTGGTGCAATTGGAGTGTGGCCATATGCTTCATATATTCCGCAACTCAATAGCGGACAGCCACCTCGGTTTCCACAACTTGTCTCATCTATACACCGACATCGAGCAGGCTTTGAAGGAGGACAAAGTCACACTCCCGAAACGATACAAAAGCGCAGGCTACGCAGGTGTCACCAGAGACTTTGAACGCCAACGTTGGGCCTTCCACCCAGCACTCAATGTCCTGGACATGGTCGAGGTAGGCATCGAAGGGAAAAGCATCTTGCCATTCTTTGGCTGCGAGATCATAAACGAGGGAGGAACTGCCGAAGTACATCACCACAAGATTCATGTTGACCTGGTGGAGTCCGACAACTTGCGGCAGATCTTGGAGCCCAGGAAGCAAGATCACAAAACAGGCATAGAAGTGAGTCTGGGTCCCAAGCTTACGATCCGAGTTTCAGCCTGACATACTTGAAGTACTATGAATTTGCTGTCAAGACATATCTCAAAGGTTTTGATGACATTTACAAGTTGGAGAGTGACGCGTTCAAGGGGTTCAACGGCACCAAAGACCCGAGGTCTCTCGGTGTGGTCACCTATCTGGGAGAATACACTCGCCATGATCGAGGAGACGACGGCGTATCTGCACAAGGTGTCACACGCCACATAATGCTGGAGTTCGGAGAGCAAGACCTCGATGAGTACTTGGCAGCTACGTTACCCCCTGTTCTTAATGAGGAGATTATTGCCTTTTGGGGGAGTCTGTTTGAAATCGCGAAAACTCTGGGACGAATCCACCAGCTAGAGCGTGTACGTGGAGACAAGGTCCAGAAATACGTAGGGTATGTAAACCTCCCAGAGGCACCTCCCAAAATCATCATGTTTCATAGCTTGTAGTTGACATTTCAGCTTCGCAGATGGCATGGAGACATAAAGCCAGATAACATTCTGCGCGTGCGAGGCGAATTCAAGCTCGCCGACTTCGGTTTCACGCGATTCGAAAAGAGTGTTATTGGGAAGCCTCAAACAACACATATGTTGGGGGGCACCAGAACGTATGGTACAGGTCACCCTGATACGTTTGATAACTTTGATAGGCAGGAGCTAATTGAGCGTTCTAGGGGCACCTGAGCGAGACAAGCCAGCCGGAGAGGCGAAGAGGCTTCATTCAACAACAATTGACACATGGTCTTTAGGGTGTGTCTTCTCTGCGGTAGCGACTTGGGTGGTCCTCGGCTCCCAAGGGTATGAAAATTATGGTGAGATGCGAGCGATGGCCCACAAAAGACTTCGCCAGCGCCACAGTCAAGACTCTAGTGTGAACGTTTCCAACTGCAGCGACGCATTCCACGATGGCATCCAAGTCCTGCCTGCCGTTATCAACTGGCACGAATATCTTCGGAGTTCTTCGCGAAAAGCAGACACCATCACCTGTCGCGTGCTTGACCTTGTCGAAAGCGGGATGCTGGACAAGGACCCCGACAAGCGGTTGGAATCAGCCGCCCTGTGTCAGAGGTTGGATCGAGTCATAATCGATGCTAAGACCGAATATCAAAACGAGCTAAACGTCGGTGCTCTCAGACGTCAATCACCTGAAACGCTCAGCGCTCTTCTTGAGCTTGATAAACGAGCACCGAAGTCCGCAGAGCCACGATCCCGGTCTACAGCGAATGACCATGGCAGCAGAAAGGAAGACACGGCCTCAGGGCCGGCCAACGGTTCACGGCTTGGAGTTGCGAGAAGCAGTCGCGTGAAGAAGTCAGAGCGCATTGACAAGATTCTTCGCGGCAAGATCGCAAATCGAGAAGAGGTCATTGGATCCGGCTACAATACTGAAACCATTCACGAGCTCTCTGGAAATGATGAGACTACATGGCATAGAGTCAACAAAACGGAACCTCGGCCTCTTGCGCCCAGTTTGACACCCATAACCTCATCCGAGGTCCCCCGAATCGCAGCTTCATCGAACGCCGTACCGATCAGCCAGGGATCAGCATCACCAATACCAACCATCATACATCCCGAAGCGGAAGGTGCAGAAAATTTTGATCTGGTGACATCGGGGCTATTGGGCTCAGATCAAAGTCATTATCAGAGGAGGAGTACTGTCAATCCTATGACAACTGAGAAATGGACACAGATCAACGCCTTGTATGAAGAGCCATCACCTGTGCCTCCGCCCCTCAAAACACGCAGCTCCCGAGCGCAACGTGGCGCTCTAGAGGTAGAAGGGTCCTTCCCGTTCCAAACAGTCGAGCTCGATGCTGCGTCTTCCGCCATTCGGCCCATTATTCCAAGTGAATCAGCATCAGGAACGTCCTTCGGAATCCCAGACCTTGTCAGTCCGATAACTCCGGTATCACCAATACAAGGACCACTTCACTCCAACACCCATTCTCCTGGCCCAGTGCCACGCAGACACACGTTTCGAAGCCGACAAGAAATCCCAATCGTTCAGGAATATGACCGTCTACTTGGGTTATGGAACAAAGCTAGAGGTTCATGGTTTACTTTGCAACGAGAAGTTCCTCAAGAAACCTTTCTTGCAAATTTTATTGAAGATAGGGACGTTGTAAGCCAGCCTTTTGGGCCACAAATGCTCATCATCTACTAACCAGCGACCACATAGATATTCGTGGTAGACAATGCTGCGAGCATGAGTTTCCACTGGAATAATGTCACCACGACGCTTCTGGCATTAGCGATGAAAATCGGTACCCTGGATAAGGATGGACTAGACTTGATGTTCACCGCCGGCGAAAGGCACAATGTTCTTGGCGCCACAGAATGGAGCATACCCGAAAAGTTTCGCAAGTCCTTGCAAGCGGCTGAGCAGAGCATGCATCCTCGTAACAAGACTAACATGGCCACGACCTTGTTGAAAATCTTCGACAAGTACGACAATCACCGCAAGAAGCAAACACTCATAATTCTCACGGACGGGTTATGGGAGGGATCTGACACACTAAACGACGTTGAGACCACCATCTCCGAATTTATCAAGAACCTCAAGAAGGACTTGAAAAAGTCGCAGCTTCGATGGTTTACAATTCAATTCGTGTCTTTTGGGTACGATGATAGGGCGCTGCAACGTTTGCAGTCACTTGACGATGAACTTGGAAAGTCGGCAGGGTAAGCTCAACTACTCTCATCTCCTATCGTTAGACTTTTGGCTAACATCATCTCGTTGTACAGGGAAGATGTTATTGATTGGAAGCCCTGGGATTCAAATGATGCCGACTCACTCATCGTCGGCAGCATTGACCCACAACTGGATTCTCAAGACCCTTCATGCTCGTCTCCAGACCCAGTGCCCCGGGCACTATCATTCCCACAGAGCCCAACGCCCACACTGAGTCATAAGTCCAAGACGAAGAAGCTAGGTAAGATGTTCGGGTTGCGATAGGCGCAGTAACACTCTGCCCCAGTTTCGGATACACTTTAAAAGCCGAGGTAGTTCATTCCTGGGAAAACAAAAGGAGCCAAGTGCAATGTATTTAATCAAATGTTCAGTAGGGCATCGACTCCGCCTTGGAGATCGAGTAGCCTGTCCTGTATATTGATGTATTGCAGCACTAATTGAAATCACGCACACGACATGGTACTGTTCCACCTATGGGATGAAAAGGAGAAGCGGAGGTAGATTGATATCTACCTTCCTCGTATTGCTCCTCCTGCTACCAGGCTTTGAATTACGGAGTTATTCTACAGTATGTTCAATCTGTGAACCATCACAGCCAATAGGATATTGCTCCAGAATGGGTAAAGCCGACGACGACCTTACCGCCTTGAGGGGTGCCAGAACATTCCTTAGTGATGCCGAGGGAAGCAGAATGACTTCTTTATTGGCTGAACTTGAATGCGCAGATCTTGTCCCTGAGGTGGCTTGACGAAGCAGCTGACTGCATATGTGATTCCCAGACCGCCACTGCCGCGTTTACATACGTCTTGGCAGTGAATGAAATCAATCATTCTTGATGTGACGTTAATAGGACCGAACAACGAGATCTAGGTTCAGTTTCCTGACTTGGACCCGGGACAGTGATTATTGCTTGTGAAGATCGGCCTTCGTCACTTCAAGATCATATGAGAGATCCAGGTGAGCGCAATGAGGTGCACGACTCAAGGCTACTTCACTGCTGAATGGCTGGAATCTGCAAAATTTGTAGGATGGTGGGTGGCAGTAGTGATTGGGTCCCAGCATTAGACTTGACGACCAACCAGGAGAAATGGATGCAAAAACGGGTGATTTCCCCAAACCAGATGCACCCTCCACAACCATCCCATGACACAACCTCATTTGCTAAAGGGCGGTTTAGACTTGTACGATGAGTGGCGGGTTAGCCCTGCTGCTTATTACAATTCAGTTGCGATGCGATGAATCAGCAATGGCCGTATGCGTACGGACGAATGTCTCGTTTTCGTGGGCCGACATCCCTTGGTTTTCTCCTCGTCATGTCATAAACAAATACATAGTGGAGCTGGGCTGCATCCGGCTGGCCAAGACTAATATTGGTTCAGGGTTACTACGTTGGTCTTACACTCGGTGAGCTCGTTGACGTCGGTTTAAAGGGACCCCGACTTTCGCCGACGCTGTCATCTCATCTACGTGGCACTAGACGTCGGAATGATGCGACATGCACATGGCCCGTTTTTCTTCTACTAAGCTTCTGCTTCAGATGTCTGATTGGAGGCTGCGTCGGAACAGAGAATGAGATTGACGTGCTATTGGGCCTACTCCGCACTGTCGGGTCTCGACACCATGTGGCAGGAGATGAGACAGCCGTCATGTGGTACTCGCTAATATGCGGCACGGGTCTGGCCACAGCATACCGAGCTCTGCATATGCACCCCAGATATATGACCTGCCCAACTCCCGAAGGGAGAAAACATATGGGCCGGCGGTAGGGTTGTATTCGGAGACTGGTTGACCCCACGGCCCGAATGTCATGCATGTTAGAAGGTCCATTCAGCATCTCGAGACAACAAAGGCACTGGCATGAGGGCCTCAACGAGACCGTGTGACAAACAGGGGTTTATTTGATTTGTTGTGTGGGCCGTGATGTTGCACACGGATGACAAACACGTTGGCGCTGTTCGCAACCGTCAAAGTGCCTCATCCGAGTTTCATCCTTTCAACCGGTGGACTTTTGTTCATGGCTTCAACTCTCTTAAGGCTGCATGCGATATGTATTGCCTGCAAGCAACGTAGCATATAGAACTTCCTATTGGTATAGTGATTCTGCGAAGCATGATCAGACAAAGACGAATGAAGCAAGATCCTGCTGTCTCATGAACACTTTGTTGCGAAAATGGAGGACCAAGGCCAGCGGCATGATTCAACCGGGCCTACAACGGCTTGTCATCGGACCTTTACATGTCGGCAGTCCTGTTTGTTGCAGATCTTGCCGAAGGCGGTTCGAAGGCAGGTTTCTATCATGACTGTTTGCATTGTATAAAGAAGGAGTTGAAGGAATAGCGAAAGAAAGGTTTGTAGGTCCTCAGACTCTGATATCAAAGCTGTCTTGGAAGCCATTTTGTACATACCACTGTCTTCTCTCTCATTCTCATTTGAGTGCACACATCAGCCAAGATGATGTTCCTCAGAGGTATCCTGAAAGCCGTATTGGCAGCAACAGCCGTTGCTCCGGTGATCGGCCTTGCTGTCCCACCCTCCTCGGATGATGTCCTCATTCAGCGCCAATCTGGTGGCGATAAGCTGGTTTTCTGTCACTTCATGGTAATTCTCTCAAGTCTCAGTTGTCTTCAGTGGTACTAACCGCCGTCCACAGATTGGTATCGTCGGTGCTCGAAGCTCTCCCAGCGAGTATGATGCCGACATGCAGCACGCCAAGGCAGCTGGTATTGACGCCTTTGCTCTCAACATTGGCACAGACTCTTACAGCGAAGCTCAACTGGACCTCGCCTACCAATCAGCTGCCAACAATGGCATGAAGGTCTTCATCTCCTTCGACTTCAACTGGTACGGAACCAGTGAGGCGACACGCGTTGGTCAAATGATTGCCAAGTACGCGTCCCGGCCGGCACAACTTATCGTTGATGGCAAGGTCTTCGCTTCATCCTTTGCCGGAGACGGTATGGATGTCGCAGCCATGCGCAGCGCTGCTGGTGTCAGTGTCTTCTGGGCACCCAACTACCACCCAGAGTACGGCACGGACTTCAGCGCTATCGATGGCGCCTTGAACTGGCTTGGGTGGCCCAACAATGGCAGAAACAAGGCACCCGATGGCTACGGAAATGTCAGCGTCCAGCAGGGAGATCAAGCTTACATCGCTGCACTTAAGGGAAAGCCTTACATTGCGCCAGTATCCCCTTGGTTCTTCACCCACTTCGGTCCAGAGGTCCCCTACTCAAAAAACTGGGTCTTCCCATCCGACACCCTCTGGTATGACCGCTGGCAGGAAATCCTAACCCTTGAGCCTCGCTTTCTTGAGATCGTCACCTGGAACGACTACGGCGAGAGCCACTACGTAGGTCGTCTTGACAGTCCCCACGGGGATGATGGCAACTCGAAATGGGTTTACGGATTTCCCCACAACGGCTGGCTCGACATGGCAAAGCCATTCATCAATGCATTCCACAACGGTGGAAGTGACGTCAAGCCGTACATATCAGAAGACCAGATTGTCTACTGGTTCCGACCTACCCTCAGAAGCCTCAACTGCGATGCCACAGATACCACCATGGCGGACGCTAACAACGTCTCTGGCAACTACTTCAAGGGTCGTCCGTATGGCTGGGAGACTATGCAGGATAAGGTCTTCGTTGTCACCCTTCTGAAGGAGGCAGGCTCTGTGTCCATCAATGTCGGAGGCACCAGCGTAACAGTACAAGCACCCGCTGGCGCAGCCAAGTTCTCCGTTGACATGAAGCCCGGCACTATCTCATTCAGCCTCGCTCGTGGTGGATCTACGGTGCTCTCTGGAACAGCTGGCATGCAGATTCTCGACCACTGCCCCTGCGGCATCTACAACTTCAACCCCTATGTTGGAACCATTCCGGCTGGTCAGCCTGATGAGCTTCTGCCGGCGGCATACTCGTCTATCTACGCTGGCTTGAAGGTCAGCACTTGTGGTCCCACGGGCATGAAGCGCACTGCTGCACCCATTGCCGATATGGCTGTTCCTGCCATGGCAACCCCCACGGCCTAACTGATAACCATGGAGCTCGAGTTTGGGAAGCTGACGGCTTGAGATTTATGTCCGAAGAATCGGGGGTTCCAAGATTCATGTATGTATTCATCGACTATTATGGAACATCGTCCAGCTGGTAAAGTTATACTCACGGCTAGGTACTTATGCGTTGAAAGACTCGCCGAGCCGGCTTGGACATGAGAAGGACAGCTACCCTGTAAATCAGAGAACATTCACCATATAGACGAACACAAATTGAGTTCAGGTCACGTCTGGCCGTCAATGGTAGATGAACCTTGCATGTGTCTGCGTTTGCATTCTTGACCGAGATCTTAGTGCCGTTGTGGCGTCCCAAGCGATCTGGCTAGGGTCTGTGCCATGATAAGGTGATCGAAATGTCCGAGACTTGGCTCTTTCTGGGCAAGGGCGTCGACAACTAAAGCGGAATTGATGCTCAGCTTCAGCCAGAACGATTCAGCCGCAGATTAGCGCTCCCTTGGTACTTCAGTATTAGTATGCATAGAAACGAAGGCGGTTTTTCAATTTCAAGCAGGCTCACAATTCAGATATCGGGTGTACTTCAGATGATGGCTGGCTCCCTGTATCCTGTCACAACAGAGACAGAGCTTGTCACTCAGGCTTCTCGTCCAGGATCCACAACCAACGCCCCTCTCTGGTACCTGATCTACAACTCTCTTCTCATAGCTCTAAGCATTTTAGCAATTGCTTTCTGGGGCTTCAGTGCCCATGCCCCTCTCCTGTACTCTTTCAATTTTGGCCAATGGTTATTGGCGAACCCAAAGAAGAGCACTATTATTTGAACTGCGTGTGGGACCATTGACGCGGCGATCCTCATTTTCCTTCTCAATAGTGTTCTGTTTCTGATGGCTAGGCAGAAGGCCCGCGTGGGATCAACTTTGTCTACTATTGAAGGCAGGGTTTCTTCCTGCACTCGGCTGACGTATGGCTTGCTAACCATGCTGCTTCTAAGATGGAACAAGTGCGCGAATCAGAAACCTCTTTTGGACATCAAACGTCTTTGGTTATCTGGCTTCACCACGGTGAACTGAGTCATTGCGCTGCTTCTTACTACCGCCTTTACAGCCCTTCTAACCCCAACCAGAGTTCTTGTCAGTGATTCTCTTGTGGGAGATGAACTCGACTTTACCGCACCTGAGTTTTGGAAATGGTACAACTCTTTTGACTCCAAAGGTATACCAAAAAGGAAGGTCTACGGCTGCACCAGGTATACGTACAACTCGTCGACCGGCTCAATTCGTTTTCCAACATGCCCCATCGCGGATGATCCGATTGCTGTCATCTCTGCTGGAGTTTCCGCTGCGCAGGAGTCTTTCGGGGTTCACAATGCCTCTGTCCGAGTCGTGGAAAGTTTGTTCAAGGGGTCAACAGGCGGTGTGCTCCCGCTTGGATTTGGGGGCATCTCAGCCTTCAGCAATGTCAAATTCAAGTCCTGGGACTCATCCATGGCAAACCGGTCCCAACAATTCAACTACTCCCTCATACAGCAGGGTCTCTCGGCCGACGTGACCTGCCAGGAGACTCCAAACACCCCCATCCAGACCCAACTTCTGAAGTCGATGGAGGTAACGAACTCCAATGCTGGCGGGACAATGGAGTTACGACGCTTCATTGTCAATCAAGGCAACTGCGGATCTAATCACACCTTCGTAGTTCCAGGGATCGGTGTTATAGCTCCTGGTTTCTGTCAGCCAGATACAACGGTAAAGAAATATGTTTTGTACTAGAATGGGGTTTAGTAGGCCCACTGGATTTTTCAGCGTTTTTAGCATTTAGAGGTCAGATTACTAGTCTCCTTTAAGAGGTAAGAAGTTAGCTTAGATATTATTATTAATCCTTATAGATTAGAGGTAGAATTTACTTATTTTTTAGTAGATTTTTAAATTTTTAATTTTATTCTTTTTATTTTAGACCTATAAAATAAATAAGAAGTTTTTTTTTTTTTTTTTTAAGATTATAAACTTTAAAACTATAGAGTTATATANTTTTTTTTTTTTTTTTTAAGATTATAAACTTTAAAACTATAGAGTTATATAGCTATAGTAGCTTTATATACTTTTAAGTATATATATACTACTATATTATATAATTTTTAGCTATTAAGCTTATAACTATTTTAATAGTACTTAGAGGTAGATTTTTTTTTCTTTTAGATATTTATAGGAGGTATTAGAGAAAAGCTTACTCTTATATTAAATAAATAGATTAATATAATATATATAATAACTATAACTATTATTACTAACTATATAATACTAAGAAATATAATATATTAATAGGAGTTAAGTAGTTATTTATAGACTTAATTTATAATAAGTAGAGAAGTATAATAGCTAAGTATAACTTTAGTAATAAGAATATAAGGATATAAAAAGACTTTAAAAAAGACCTTAAAAGTATTATAGCTTATATAATAGGGAGTATTAGATTTTTATTTATTTTTACTCTTATTACTCTTTAATATTATAAGCTATTAAAATTAAATTAGATCTACTTAATAAGCTTTTTAAACTAATAAGAATATAAAGCNCTTTATAATATTTAGATAAAATAGTTTTTAAGAATTAATAAGTTTATTATAAAAAAATAGAATAAATCTACTATAAAACTATTAGTAGTTTATATAACTCTTAATAGATTAATTAATAGAGGTTTAAAAAAAGGAATATAAAGTTAATTATAAAGATCTAAGATAATATAGCTAATTAGGTTTAAAACTAATAAAAATAGAAGTATAATACCTACTTATTTAGTTATACTTTTTTCTCTTATCTCCTTTTTTTTTATTATATTTTTAGAAAAAGTAATAATAATACTTAAAATTAAAAAAACTAATACCTTTAATTATTTAAAAATAANAATTAAAAAAACTAATACCTTTAATTATTTAAAAATAATAACTTATATATTTACTATTTTAATTATTAATAACTATTATAATTAAAATATAGTTTAAAATAACTAAGGAAATATTATATAAAGATATCTTAACTCCTTATAACCTTATTACTAAAAGTAAGTTTATTAATATATTTAATATTTAAACTAGAGTATTTAAGAATATTTAGGATTAAGCTAAAGTAACTTTAGTTTCTAAAGATAGCTTATTTAATAGCTTTTTTAGTTTATAAACTTAAACTACTAATATTAACTTTACTAAAATTAACTATACTACTAATAGTATTTACCTCTATATTAGAGTTAATAGAGGTAAAGAATAAGCTTTTAGTATTAATCCCTATTATACTTTAAATAATAATACCTATAGAGTTTAGTAATAACCTATAGTTTCTATTAGTAATACTTATTTTATTTCTATAGATTAGTTAATAGGAATTATTAAGTAACTAATAGAGTTATACTTTTAATATCTTATATTAATTATAATAAATCCCTTTCTAAATAAGAATACTCTTATATTTATAGGTAATAATATTATAGATTTTATTAAAATTTATAATTTTTAGTTTTATAATACTTATTAGATTAATAAGGATAAGTTAATAAAAGTCTACCTCTATAGTTTTAAGGACTTAAGGTAAGGTATTAAATTACTAGTTAAGGACCTTAATAATTAGGAAGTTACTAAAGCTACTTTTATTAACTAATATAATATTATAGATAAAAGCTTTTATTAAGACCTTAATAAAGAACTTTAAGTAATTAAGGATAAGCTCCCCCTTTTTAAGATAGATATTATTAATATTATAGCTCTCTTTAATTATATTAAGGGTTTATACTATAAAGTTATTATAAAGGAACTCTTAAAATATTAAGATTAAGATTTTATTTACTTTATTTATAGGTATCTACTAAAGGGAGCTATTAAGGTTATTATAAAAGCTCTTTTTTATAATATTATAAACCTACTCTAGAAGTTTTAGCTAAGTATTAAGTATATAATTATTAAATAGGTAACTAGAGAGACCTCTTATATATATATTAATAGAAAGAAAGCTATAAAAGTAACTACTCCTCTTTTAATTATTAGTTTTATTAAACTTATTAACTAGTTTATATAAATTACTTATATTTAGTAGTAATATAGTAATTTAAAAGTAGTAGACTTTAATAAAGTTACTATTTTTTAAGAGTAGATATACTAAATATTTCTTAATAGTAAAGATATTAAGGAATAGATAAAGGTACTTATAGCTAGTATTTAGAAACTAAGTATAAATATTAGTTAGTAGTTTAAATTAGTATAGAATAGTTATATTATAGATATAAACTAAGTATTTATAGTATAAAGGAGTTATAAATAGTAAAGAGAGGCTAGTTAATTTATAAACTTAATTATTATAAACTAAATATAATATAATATATTTAAAATTAAAAGTTACTACTTTTATAGAATAAATAGATATTATATAACTAAATATAATATTATAAATAAATTAAGGAATACTAAAGTAGTATATTACCTAAGAGGATAATATATTAGCTTTTATATTAATTATAATATTATTTAGGATAGTATTATTAATAAAGAATAGAAGAACTTAATATCTAACTTAGTAACTATTTAGACTTATATCTTCTAAAGTAAGGTATACTTCTAACTAGAGGTAATAATAAAGTACTTCTATAATAAGTACTACTTAGAGTAAGTATTTAGTTTAAAATTATCTATTTATTATTAGGAGGTTATAGTTATAGTAAATAAAGCTTAGAGAGAATAAGAAGAAGTTAAATAATAAGTATTAATAACTACTATTAATTATATTAATATTAGGTATATATATAGCTATATAATTAATATTAACTATATAAGAGATAAGAAACTAGTAGAAGTTAATATTATTACTAAAATAAAGAATAATAACTTCTAATATATTTTATATAATAACTCTTTAGTAAAAAAGGTTTACTTTATAAATTAGATTTTAATTTAATAAGGTATTATATTTATAGGAAGTACTTAAGTTAAAAAAGTAATTAAAGATAAAATAATTATATAGGTTTTTTTATAACTTTAGCTATAAGGACCTACTTATTATAAAGAAACTAAGGAGCTATACTAAATAACTTTTTTCTTAGACTTAAAAGAAACTTACTCTTAAACTATAGCTTTTTATAGTAAAAAGTAGATAAGTAATATTACTCTACTAAAATAGTTTCTCTTAGATAACTAGCTAGAATATAGATAGTTTAAGTTTTAGTATATAATAGTATATATAAAGTAATATTAAGACTAAATATATAATAATAATATAGTTACTATTAATTTAACTTTAGCTAATACTTATATATAAGTTAAAAGCTAAGAAGTAAGTATTAAAGAACTTATAAGGAAATAAGATAAAGAATATAAAGCTAATTTTGTAAGGGTCTAGCTACCTAAACTAGAAGGGCTTAGGGATAGTTCGGCTAGACTAAGCTAAAAGGATAGAGAACTTTATAGAGATAAGGTATAGAACCCTCTATAGCGAGGACTTAGTAAGTACTTACTAAAGAGTTAGAAAAGAAGATCTTAGAAGAAGTAAGTAAAAGTAGTATAGTAATACTATACCTACCTTTTAAGTACTTCTTCTATTAGTTTAACCTAACTATAGCCTATAGCTCCTAAATACCTTTATAATTCTTTTGCTTCTACCCTATTTTAAGAAGGTTAGTAATAATAATAGTACTATATACCTAAGTAATACTTATTAATTAAACTAAAGAACTTATACTTAGTATTTATTAAGTATTAAGTAAAATAGCTTATATAAGCCTATATAAGGAAGATAACCTTAGTGAATAATTAAAAGATAATATAAGTTAATAAGAGGAGGTAAGAAGCTATACTTTAAGTAAAGCTAAGGGCTTTAAAGAGGATAAGCTACCTATACTAAATATTTATTAAAAGGATAATAAGTATATATAAGAGAATAGGGAATATAAGACCCCTCCCTATAGATTAAATAGGCTATAAGGCTAAATATCTATAGCTACTACTTATAGACTAGCTTAAACTAGAGGGCTAGATAAAGCTACTAGCTAAGTACTAATATAGTAGATTATAACTATAATAGCTAACTAGTATAAACTAATTACTATTATATTAAATAACTAAATACCTACTAAATAGTTACTAAAGGTTTATAAGAAACCTCTAAACTATAATATAGCTTACCTTACTAATAAATCTATTAATATAAAAAGGGAAGATTAGCTTATTATAATAGAGGAGGCTTATAAGTACTACCTTAGCTACTCTAATAACTAATATATCTAATAAGCCTTAAGTATAATAAAGTATACCTTATAAATAAAATAGTAGACTTATTAGTAAATACTTATAGATATATTAGGGAAGTAGGTTAACCTTATATAAGAAGACTTTAGAGTTTTTATAAGAAAGTAGTATATAGTACCTAAATTCTAAGAATAGAACTACTATAATACCTTAAGGTAATACTATTAGAAGGAGGATAAGAAACCTATTATATATTAAGCTTATTAGGAGTTTATTAACTAAGTTTTTAGTAAACTAAATATAAGTAATATAAAGGCTTATATATTCTTTTAGGGTTTTACTAAAACCTTAAAAGATAAGCTTTTTAAATAAGATATTAATTATACTAATATATATACTATAGCCTTATATATATAGAGACTATAAGAGATTTTAGAAGGGAGATATATAAGAAGGCCTACTAGCTATTCTAAGTTATATAAGTAACTATACTTAAGCTCTTTAGACTACTTTTATAAGAGTAGCTTATAACCCCCTTAATTAATAAACCTAAAGGAGTACTATCTAGAGACCCTATCTTAGAATAACTACTTAATAAACCTCTATATAAGGCTTAGCTTTAATAGTAAGCCCCCTAATCTTTAGGGAACTTAATACTATAATTATAAGAAATATAGATATATATCTCCTAATTATATTAAACTATATATATAACCTATAAGTAATAACTAGAACCTAAATTTAAGATAGGGTAGGATTAATATTATTATAGTTTCTTATATAAATAATACTAAAGACTTAGGAAATAAGTAAGTATAAAAGTAACCTTAAGGGGTATTATACTAGAAATTACTTTAGTTCCTATAAAGTAGACTATTAAAAGTTAAGTAATTATACTCTAAGTATATAATAAGGTTAAACTATTAATTAATATAGATACTTATACTATAGTAAACCTTATATAAGAAAATCTTATTAAGAAACTTTTACTAAAGGAGGCTATTAGCGTTATAGCCTTAAAGCTAGTAAACTTTTAAAGAAAACTAATACCTACTAATAAAGTTTATTAGCTTACCCTCTTCTTAATTAATAGCTAAAGCTATCTATAGAAGATTTAGAGAGTATTTATAGCTAGTTTATATCTTAAAGGAGTAGGAGATATCCTTCTATCTAATAATTTAATAAATAGAGAAAGTATCTATATAAATACTTATACTTATACCTAGTTATATAATTATATCTTACTTACTAAACTAGAGGTAATAGTATAAAAAATTATAGAAAATAGCTAGAAAGTTTATATAATATACTTAATAGAAGTTTTAGCTTTAGATAAAAAAGATATTAATACTTTAGGTAAAGGCTTATTAGATAAGGGGTATAAGAAGAATATCCTTAAAGAACTTAAACCTTTTACTAACGTTTTTAATAAAGAAAACGTAAAAAAGGTCTCTAAATTAAAGGGAGTAATATATTATATTAAACTAAAACTTAGTAAAGAACTTCTATATAGGTTAATATACTCTATATTAGTAGAATAGCTATAAACCCTCACTAAATATATTTAAGAAATAGAAGTAGCTAGATATATTTATTACTTAACTAGCTCTATTAGAGTATTAGTCTTATTTATACTTAAAAAAGATAGTAGCTTATAGTTATATATAGATTATAGAGGACTAAATAAAATTATAATAAAGAACTAATATTTTCTACTACTAATTAATAAGCTTTTAGATAAGCTTATTAGTATAAAGTTTATTTCTAAGATTAATTTAAATAAAATATATTATAGAATTATAATTAATAAAGTAGATAGATAGAAGATTATATTTAAGACCTAATATAAGTACTTTAAGTATATAGTAATACTATTTAGACTTATAAATACTCTAATAACCTTCTAAGTATATATTTACTAAATACTTACTAACTTTCTAAATACTTACTATATTATATACTTAGATAATATCCTAATCTATTTAAATACTAAGGAGTAATATACTAAAGACCTCTATATAATCCTATATTACCTAAGGGCTACTAAGCTATTTATAAAACTAAAGAAGTATAACTTCTATTAGATAGAAGTAGATTTCCTTAAGTTCTATATTACCTAAAATAGTATTAAAATAGACCTAAATAGAGTTTAAGTAGTTACTAAATAACTAGTACTAAAATCCTTTAGGGATATCTAAGTTTTCTTTAGTTTTTATAACTTTTACTATAAATTTATTACTAAATACTCCTATATTATAGTTTCTATAAATAGCGCGCTAAAAGGAAGTTAAAATAGTATAAAATTAGAAGCTTTTATTTAGATAGGGGAGATATAGACTATATTTAAGATATTTTAGAGAGTATTTACTAAAGCTCTAATATTAAGATATTATAACTTAGTGCTAGAAACTAAGGTTAAGACTAATATATTTATTTAAGTAGTATTTAATATACTTTTATAGAAATATAGTACTATTTAGTACTTAGTAGCCTTCTAGTTAAAGAAGCTTTTAGATATAGAAAGATACTAAGCTATAGGGTAATAAGAGCTCCTTATTATTATAGAAAACTTAGATTATTAAGCGTAATACCTCTAAAAGCTCCTTAAGAAATTCTTAGTACTTATAAACTATATAGTACTAAAGGGGGTGCTTATTATATCTATACGTAATATTTATAAAAGGTTTATATAATAGGTTTACTACTTATTAGCGTTTAATTTTAAAATCTAGTATAGATTAGGAGTTATTAATCTAGTAGATAGACTATTATAACGCCCTAACTATATAGTAGAAGACTTTAAGGTAAATAATATACTCTTTACCTTTAGGAAGAAGCTAAGACTTATTAGCTAGCTATTAGTAATAACTTACTAATATATTACTAAGCTTAAAGGAACTATAGCTATTATGAAAACTTATATTTAAGCTATTTAGTGAAGTATATAAAAACCTTATTAGAAAGCTAGCTCTAAGGTTAAGGGATCCTTACTTTTAGGTTAGTACTACCTTATAAAAGGTACTAATAAGTTATTATATTAAAGTATATATATTAGTGTTATTACTTACTTAAAATTATATATAGATACTATACTAACTGCTCTATAAGAAGATAGTAATATACTAGAGGACTTAGGGGGAGCTAGGATTATTATACTAGAGTAGTATATCTTATATACTATAATAAGGGAGCTTATTTAGAATAAAATAGTATATATATTATAACTAAGTATAAATCTTAAATAGATAGTTAGAGGACTATAAGCTAAAAACTACTTCTATAGAGAACTTATAGCTAAGGTTTACTAAGATATTAGGGAATACTAAAGGTACTAACTTAATAAGAATAATATCTTTTAGTTTAGAAGAAGACTTATTATCCTAAAAGAAGGATCTTTTTACTATAAAATCTTAAAAAACTACTATAATATATTTAGATTAGGGTATATAGGGGTAAATAAGATAGTAGAGCTAATCTTATAAAAATTCTATTAGTTATACTTAATAGAGGATATATAGTAATATATCGCTAAGTATTTATATTATTAGGGAGTATATATACTATAATATAAGCTATATAGACTACTATAAATACTAAAATTACTAGTATACCTATTTTAATAGATTTCTTTAGACTTCTTAACTAGCTTATTAGAGAATTACTAAGATAATAGAATTATATATAATATAATCCTAGTAGTTATATATTAAATAACTAAAGTAGTATAATTTCTAGTGATAACTAAGTAACTAAATACTATAGATTTAGTGAGGATTTTATACTAAGAGATTAAATATTAGTATAGTACGCCTAAAGCTATTATTAGTAATTAAGATAAGTTAATTACTAGTTAGTTCTAATAAGATTAGACTAAGGCTTAAGATATAGAAGGGTATATCTTTATTATATAGTATCTATAGATAGATAGCTAGATTAAGAGAATATACTAAACCCTAACTATATACCTCTTAAAGTTTAGTAAAAGCTTATATAACTAATAGGTAATATAGCTAGTTAAAGCTAAATTCTTATATAATAATAGTAGATATATTATTATTAGTATATTACTATTTAAAGCTTTTATAGGTTACTACTTTTAAATAATTAATTACTACTTACTAAGTATTAAAATTAGAACTTAAGAGGTTAATAAAAAGCTTAAGAAGTTAATAGAGGTTTACTAAAGGATAGCTAAGAATTAGTAATATATAATAGAAGTATAAGCTAAAAATATAAATACTAAAAAGAAGGTATAATTATATAAAGTTAGAGATATTATAAGGTTTTTAATAAAGAACTTCTATTTTATAAAAGGTTAGTAAAAACTTACTTTATAATTTATTCCTATATTAATTATAGAGGTTATAAGCTTTAATACCTATAAAGTGTAGTTCTTAGAAAAATATAATAGGGCGTATAATATCTTCTTAGTTACTTTACTAAAACTATAGTATAGCTAAAAGCTTACTAAAGGATAGCTTCTAAACTTAGAAGAGAACTTTAAAGAATAAGAAGTTAAAGATATTATATTATAAAGGGATATATTAATAAGCCCCTTATATTTAGTTAAGTAGAAAGGCTAGCTAGTAGAATATAATACTTAGGAACTTAAAGAATACTTAGTAAATACTTTATAAATCTTTATAGGATTTAAGAAGTAATAATATAAGTTATACTATAAATAGGATAATAAGTAGTATAGAGAAATAAGGAAAAGTTAATTANTACTATAAGTAGGATAATAAGTAGTATAGAGAAATAAGGAAAAGTTAATTAATTATAGAAAGACTCTAAAGAAAACTACTCTTAAAAGTAATATATAAACTTAAAGGTATCTAACTAAGAACTCTAAAGAAAAGCTATTATATACTTACTAAAGATCTACTAAAAACTACTAAGAATTATTCTCTAAGTTACTTAAATCTTTATTAATACTATTACTATTAGGATTAATATCTATATTATTCTCACTATTATTACTCTTACTTTCTAATAACTTATCCTCCTCCCTAAAGCTAATAAGATTTTTATAAATACTTATAGAGGAGGTACTAATATCCTTATAAGTATTAAGTTAGGGAGTAAGGCTAGAGCTAATATATTTAAGGATTATAATTAAGGTATACTTATAAGAATTATAAAGTATCTAAGAAGCTTAAACCTTAGAGGGATCTTAAGTAAGTAGATTAGATATATAAGGGTTATTACTTAAGAGATACTTCTCTAAGATATTATTAAACTTATTAAGGAACTAAGCTTAGTTAAAGATATAGCTCTTATCTTAGAGGTATTAAGGTAGGGTATTCTTAAGCTAAAGATAAGTCTACTTAATAAGGTTTTTATCCTTTTTTTAATAAGTATTCTATAAAGAAACTATTAGCTATTAAAGAAAAACTTAATTTAAAGGATTATATACTTTAAGCTAGATCTTAAGATATACTTAGGTATAGTTAGTAGTAGTCTCCTTAGCGTTTATCTATAGTAATTAATTATTATACTACTTAGAGTTAAGCTAAAACTTAATAAGGTTTATTAACTACTTATAGAGTAATAAGAGAAGTACTTAACTATTTATAATTATAGTATATATATAGTAGATCTTATACTAATAATACTTATTAGCTTTAATTTAGGTAGTATAGCACTTCACTTAGTTCTAAAAGATTTAAATACTATTAACTAGGTAATTAAAGATCTAGTTATACTAATAGTTAGTCTAATACTTTAGTAAAAGGTTACTAAATACTTATTTTGTAATACTTAACACTATATAAACGATATATTTAGTAGGTAGTATTACTTATATTAGCGTAAGTATATATTACTCTAGTAGTCTAATAGAGCTATAGAGCGTAAGAGATATAGAGCTTACTACTACCTAATTAGTTATATTAGTAGGTACTATTATTCTTTACTAAGTTATTAGGCTTATATAACGCTAGAATATAGGTAATTAGAGTCTTAGTACTTATAATAATTAGATATAAAAGTAGTATTAAAAGGGGAAGGCTCTATAAAGGCTTAATAAAGCTTTATAAAATATAAAAGTTATTATAATATAATATAATAAAGAAGAAGAAAAAAAAACTAACCTTAAGTAGGAAAAAGGGTATTACTTTATAGATAGATATAAAGTATTATTAAATAGTTAGGGAGGTAGCTATAACTTTAAATAAAAAGAATAGTAGTTATTTATTATAGTAAGTACTACTAAAAGTAAGAAGGTAAATATAGTGAATTAATAATAGTAGTTACTATTTAACGTTTTAAATAGCTTTATAATATACTTATTTTAGAAAAGGGATAAATAGGATAAAAAAATAAAGTTATTATAAAGCTATTATTTAGAGAAAGCTTACTAAGTAAAAAATAAAACGTCTATAAATAAAGAATATAAAACCTACTAAAAATAATTTCTTTTTTTAAGGAATAAGAGAGACCCCTAATAAAATCTTATTTAGTAGATAATAATAGTACTAAAGGATAAGGAAGCTTTAGTAAATATATAGTAGATAACTACTATATAGATAATAGAGATAACTTATAATAATAATAGTAACTATAAAAAAGCCTACTATAGATAATAGAGGTTCTTACTTATTACTAGTCCTATTCTATAATAGGGACTACTATAATTAGAAAGGGGATAATTATAAAAGTTTAGCTATTTAGACTAGAAGGGCTTAGGGATAGTTTAGCTAGACTAAGCTAAAAGGATAGAGAACTCTATAGAGATAGGGTATAAAACCCTCTATAGCGAGGACTTAGTAAGTACTTACTAAAGAGTTAGAAAAGAAGATCTTAGAAGAAGTAAATAAAAGTAGCGCAGTAATATTATACCTACCCTTTAGGTGCTTCTTCTATTAGTTTAACCTAACTATAGCCTATAGCTCCTAAATACCTTTATAAATTTATAGTAACCTAAAAATAGTAATCTTAGATTTATAAAAAGTAGTACTAATATACTAATAGAAAAGCTATAACTTATTAGAAAAAGCTATTATATTAATATAAATATAGTAGATATCTTAATACTATAAAGCTTTAAACTAATTAATATTAAGGTTTTAGCTATAGAAAACTTCTAATAACTTTAATTTAGAGTTATACCTTACTCTAATAAAAGGTATATAGTTACTATATATAACTTTATTATATTTTACTTCTAAGTAGCTATTTAAATTAGATATTACTTAGCTAAGGAATAATTAGGAATTATTAATATTAGCTTTATAGTAAATATTATATCTAAAGATTATATTAACCTTAATAGACTTTAAAATAGAGTTATATTAACTTTAGTTATAATTAGAGACTTTATAGATATTATATTAAAACTATAGTTTATAAGTATTATTATAGAGGATATATATATTAGTAACTATTATATACTTAATATAAGTTTCTTTATTACTTTATCTAATAAGACCTTAAAAAGCTTAATTTTTAGTAGCCTTTTTATCTATTATATTAAGATAGAGCTTAGTTATATAGATAGATAGATTAATAGTAATTTTTACTATTATACTACTTAGTATTTATTAAAATATACCTTTAGTTTCTTTACTAATTAGTTTATAGCCCTCTTTTTCTATATTATCCCTAACTTAGATATATTTAATAAGATTTAGAACTTCTATTATATTTTAAAAAAGGAGGGAAACTAAAAGCTATTACTACTATACTTAATATAATAATTAGTTTATTAGAATTAAGAATAGATAGAACTTTAAATCTTATTATAGAGGAGGATTATAAGATTAATAGCTAAGAAGATATTTAGATATTTAATATTAAGTAGTTATCTTTAGATATAGTAATATAAACTAAACTTAAAAATAGAGATAAGATTAAAGGTACTTTTAATTATAAGAATAAACTCTTTTAGTAGATTCTTAAGATATTAATCTAATAAGCTATTACCTCTAAAGTTATTTTTATAATTACTAAATTTATTAAACTTAGGAACTATAGCTTAAACTATACCTATAAGAATTAGAGGATATTAATAAACTATTATAGATCTAAAGTAAGTTTAAAAAAGAAAAAAGTTTTATTATAAATAGAGGAAGTATATAAAGCTAGTTTTAATATATTAACTATAACTAAAAGGATCTTAAATATAGTAAGAGTACTAAATAATATTATATTCTTTAATAAGCTAGAGAAGTCTTATAAATAGTTTTTAAATTAATAGAGTAGTAATTTAGTAAATATTTTATTTCTTTAAAATAATATTATTATATAGTTTAAAACTATAGAATATATTATACTCTACTATAAAGCTTTTTAATATAAAGACTTTATTATAATAGATATTATTAAAGCTTCTTAGATAGTCTAAAAAGTTCAATATACTACTTACTATTTTAATTTTATAAATAGATCTAAATAAGATAAATACTAAGAAAAGGTTCTATATAAAGTAACTTTTACTAAATTTAAGTTTAGCCTTAAACTTTTAGAATAGCTCTTATTAATTAAAGTTTATAAACTAATAGCTATTTCTAAATCTAATAATAAGTATTTTTTTTTCTTTTATTATTTAACGCCTGTTACGTCCCTTTTTGGGTATAGGGCGTTTGTGCTGGCGATCTTGCTTGCTACTTATATATATATAAGTCCTAGCTATACTGGCTTAGATAGGTTCTAAGGAAAGATAAGAAAAGAAAATAGGTAACTAGAAAAGAGAATAAGTAATAGTATATTAAGAACTCCTGTAATTTAATATATAAAGTAAGTCTTATAGTTCTACTAGCTTTATTTAAGTGTTACGACCTGTTATATATAGATAATAGTTGACTAACCTACTTAGGTGTTAGGCAGCTAGGATAGGATATTTATACTATAGAATTATAGAAATAGTAGGGACTTACTTAGAAATAGAAGAACTATAGTATAAGTTATATAATAATAAGATAAGAGATTAGATTTATATACTAAAGATATAGAGGCTATACTTAATAAGATAGACTCTACTAAACTAAGGAATAGTAATAAGGATAAGAGGGCTATTTAGGATTTATATATAGTATAACTTAAGCTTAGCTTATAGTTAGACTTTTATAGCTCTTTAGTAATTAACTTAGTATTTATCTTTATAGATACTTTTAGCTTATTTTTACTATAAACTATTTATTAAGTTTAAGACTAATCACTTTAGCCTCTGAAGACTTAATCTACTATAAGCCTATAACCTATAACTTAAACTATAACCTCTATATACTGTTATAATATATTAATCTCTAGCTTCTATTAGTAGACCTTACTGTTAGATAGCTAACTATAATATTAAGGTTCTAGTGGGTATAATCTGAGGAAGTGTAAATATATAGGTTATATAGAAGGGGGTAGAAGGTTTATATTATAGTAGTGTTATAGTAAGTTTAGTAAAGTAAAACTGCCTAAAGGACTTATTGTAGTGTTATTACGTATAGAGTAGTCTCTAGGTTGCTTAAGACTATATAGGATGCTTTATCTCCTTTAGAAGTATATACTAAATTAACTTTAAGGTAGGATTCTATAACGCTAGCGTTCCTAGAATAGTAATATTTATGCTTAATACTAATACCTCCTTAGGGTTAAGATATTAATAGTAGGCACTATTTTATTAGGTTAAAGGTGATAGTAAACTAATATTAATACCCTCTAAGGTTAAGATACTAACTACTATTACTAAAGTCTTATAGTTTAAGAGGTGGTGTAGTATAACTAAACTAATAGAACCCTTAAGATATCTACCCCTAATAAGCATTTTGTTAGTAGGGATATAAAGGTCTAATAAATATTTATAGGGGTTTATTACGTTATAAGTATAGGCTAGAGATTAGAAGTTAGCCTTAGCTAAATATTATCTATAACTAATCTATATCTTAGATAGATTTCAGTAAAGAATTAAGAGTAATAGAGTAGCGTTATGAAATTAGGCTATTCTTATCCTAACTTTATAGTAGTATATTTAGCCTTAGTAACTTAAGGTTTAAACTTACTTGTTTTATAGTAGAAAAGTAGGTGTGAGGGAGTTTTCTCCTTTCTATATAAGTAGTAGAGATAAGTATCTTAGTAGTTGAAGCGCTTATAGTAAGCTATAAAGTCCTTATAGCTACTTTATACTACTATAAGCTAGTAGAGTTCTTTTCTTACTAGAGTCTTAAGCTTTTAGGTTAGTTTAAGTGAGACGTTAAG